CCTACATAATTTGTAGGCAGTAGAGAATTTACAAGAATAATCACTGTTATACAGATGAGAGACCACAGTAACTACTAATTAGATTTAGTTATATAGGTATTAGGTATATTGTCATAATTTTACTACAATAATATCTCAGAACCAATATTGCTGTATAATGTATATTATACATTAAACATTTTATTATTTTTGTTGTTTCAATTTAGTTGCATCACTGGATCTAATAATTAATTTAACTAAAAGAATGATGTTTACAACACTAGATTAATACAATAGTAGATACCTTGGTATAGATAGCACGAGTACATATTATTATTATTTGTCAAGTCATAAATTTATCCAATTATAATATTATACCTATATTATCACAATAATTACATAATAAATTTGTTATTTTATTTTTATTTGTTTATTTTTGAGAACCTGTATTCAATATAATATGTACACTATAGGCACCTCCTATTCCTTAAAATATTTCAGTTATCCATAATAACTTATAACATACGTAATATTAGTTATTACTTATTAGTTTATTACCTATTAACTATGAGTTTATGGCTATAAATTATGATTCATGTCTCATATAATCTTATTTTAATTATATTATTAATAAAAACTGTTGTATTAACAACATTTTTAATTTTTAAGTTTAAGAGTGAAAGTCATAAAACGATTTCTAATAATAATGTGTGTTTTATTGTTTTAGCAGTACCGATGTTATCAGAAATTATGATCATTAAACATTGTCAAGAAAAATGAAGAGGATAACTTAAGAATGACTAAGTGACACCCAATAGAGGAGTTTCTGATTTCATATAAGAATCAATATTATTATTTATTTCTTAATCATTTATGACAATGCTTCAAAGGTAAAAATATTTACTAGGCGGTATTATGATCGAATTGATCAATGGCTAATAATTTATAAAGACAAATGACAACGTAATGATAAAAGAGCAATTATTTGTATGTACTTATACTTAATTTATTCCTATAGTCTCTCATTGACTTCTTACAATAGAGAACATATTTAATGTTCTTACCAGTTACTTTTAAGTTTGATAATATGTCAATTCACCCCATTATTTAAAGTTTAAACCAACAACACAAAACTGAAACAGCTGAAACTATACGTTTAAGATGAAGACAACAAATGCGGGTATAACGTCTTCGCGAAGAAATATCTTCTTTTTAAAATAAAATAAAATTTAAAACTGCAGTAGGTACTACATTTTATTTTTTATCAATGTTACTTATTTCCTGTACTTAACTAACCATGATTATTTCGATCCAAAGCATTGTTTGGGATATTTTAAAGAATTGCCAATTAAATCCGGGCCCAACTTAAAAAAGTTGTATTAAGCATCAGTTTTTAAGGAAAAAAAAATATTTTAATATTCAAGATCTTTGGAGATCGTTTTTGTTACCAAAGTTTATCTAGTTCGGGTTAATTAATTTGATAAACAAAATAATCGTGATAAACAAGAAAAAAAATTATGAACATTTGGAAATATTTAGGTACCTACGCAGTAAGTTTTTGATAAAATTGATTGTTTTAGTATCGTATATAATTCGAAAATGAATAACCATAAAATAGAAACTTACTAATTAAATACTACGTTCCTCGTAAGCTGTTCCTGTTCTTGTAATCAGTAATTGAAAACATTGGAAATACTGTAAAAAGTATTTTTAATGTTTTTACTTCAAAATTTGTCTAAACCATTGTGATTTGAAAATTATTATGCACGTATCGTTAAACGTTCATAAGATTTTTACTAGAATCAGAGCCGGCGAGAACATTTGTGGGCCCCGGGGCTGATCAATTCCGGGCCCCTTTACTTATAGTTATTTCATATTTGACTAAGAATACTAAGATATACATAACACTAATACAGTAGTCTAACCGATTAGACGATTACACAGATCGAACTCGCATTGAATGCGCGTATGTTTTTTTGTTATCTTTGTGTGTACTGTTTCGTACTGTGTTGCGTATGTGATAAATGATAATATAGTAGCTATTTAATTTTGAGCGATCGGACGCGAATGTTTACGGCTTAACTTGTAATTCTAAATTATATAACATATAATTTGTATAAAAATAATTTTTCTACTCAAAAAGTTAGCAAAATTGACCTCCCGGGTCTATAGGGCCTGTGCGACTGTGCCTAAATACGCCCCAGACAACGGGCCCGCCTGAAGGCTCGGGCCCCACCTGCCCTACCCTCTCTCCGGCCTAATATTATTGTTACTTGTTAGTGCACTCTGCAATTAAGCATTACGATTTACGTGTGACAAGTTTAATGATTGATTAATTTTATTACTATTACAATTATTATTATTAGACAACAGTTGGATTACCTATCACAGCGTTTCCCAAACTGTGACCGACGGGGCACGGACTCTGATGGTCCGCAAACATTAATTGAAAATACAACACCATGAACACCATCAATCACATTGAATACACTAGTTATTTATTATGCAAATGATATACCTATCTATTTATCCGTTTTTTTATTAATTCAATTTTTTATCATATGAATATGTACCTACATTTAGTTCAGAAAATTATGCAATAAAATTAGTACCTATTATTATTTATTATCGTTTTTAATTTTTATTTAGGGGGTCCACAATAATTTTTACTATATCTAAAAAGCCTGGCAGAGAAAAAGTTTTGAAAACGCTGAGTCCTATTCCACTGTTGTCTTCAAATAGTTACCTCAAGATGTTCCATTTCTGTAAGTCAAGTTGGAATAGCTGATAGAGCACCTCTTCTTATATACTGTATAGGTACTAAACTTGTAGTTCGTAAATATACAGTAGACGCCGCTTATAAGACTCACTTTGGGACCAGCACAAAGTGAGTCTTATAACCGAATGAATCTTATAGGCGAAGTGGAAAAAAAAAATTAATTACGTATTTATAAATGTTATTTTACTACATATTTTGCTTTGATTTTAATACATTAACACATATTACATACTTTATTATTGAATAAATTTAATAATCCCGATAAAAAAAACTAAAATTATAATCGTTATAATTATCGTTGCGATAAATGTGAACTTTTATCCGCGATAAAAATTATTATACGTTATAAGGTACCAACAGAAACTAGAAATAATCAACATGAATAATATTTCATTTTTCAAAACCAATTTATTTCTAAATTATAATCAAACCAGTTTATTTTCTACTATTTATTTTACGAAATTTGAGTCTTAAAACAGATTTTTTTAATGTATTTGGAAACGTCCGGACCGTTCCATACGACTTTGAGTCTAATAAGCGACTGAACCTTATATCCGTGAGTCTTATAAGCGGCATCTACTGTATTTATGTACGTATGAATCGTATAGTATTATGAGATTATAAAATAATTATGTACAAATAAAGATTGCAGTGTAAATATTTTAACGATATCAAACAAGAAATCCATCTGTGCATTTTCCAGCGAGCATATGTTATGTGCTAAGAACTATGTACAAAAAATCAAACATTACTAAATAGGTATAAATAACAGCAAACAAGGTTACTAACAAAGTTACTTAAATAGCTCTGTAATATAAATGATGCTTACTAGACATCCGAACAATAAACCTATCATCAAATTGATAATCGTTGAGCTTGGTTATCTGCGTCGCACAAGGCACAACTTGATAACATTTCACGTTTCACTAATTTCATCAGGAATCGTGTCATTTTTTGAGTATAAAATAATCTTTTGTCATAGTTTCATAAAGTCCGCAATCGTATTATTCGTATTGCGAAAAAGGTAAAACGTCCGCAATCGTGTTTCACTAATTATGAAGATACAATAAACGATACGATGCGGATGAGTTGAAGAACTACGACACATTTTGAATTTTCAGCTTACATGCGATTTTATTAACAAAAAAAAGGTCGTTATAAAGATTAAATTCTATGCAATTTATCACTAAAATCTGTTATACTTAATAGACATGCAGGGTGTGCCCATGGGCTCTAGCTCACATGCCTCAAATCAAATTGCCCATTTCATAATTTTAATAAATTACCTACCTAAATAACTATAGTCAATTTTAGATTATTTTTTTAAAACAAATTTTATAAAATTAGAATAATTTAATGTGTGCAACTTGATAGATACCTAGTTAAAAATCTGTATACAATTTAGCATATACACTATACACATATTATATAGTGGCTATTGGCTAGTATTAATGATTATTAAAAATTGTTGAATTAGGTAATTGTAATAATTGTATATTAAGAAACCAATTGATCAATTTTTTAATTTTTATAAAATAATGTTATGATTATTAAATTATAATAACATAATTTTATTTTATTTCTCACTGTATTTTAAATTTAATGTTAATCTGCCATGACCGCTCTCTCAAAAACGATGTGTGCAACTTGTATAACTCTATATTAATATGTATATTAAAAGTACATTAAATTTAAAAATGTCTAATAGTTTTAAAATAAAAAGCCAAAAAAAATATTATATAAACACTACTTACTAAAGTAAACACAAGCCTATAATTATACCTATTTTGTTTTATAATAAATATTTGTGTTAAGTATTTAAAGTGTTGTAATCACAGATATATGAGGTTTTAATAAATTCTAAACATAAAAAGAAGCTGTATACCATAGATTTTTCTGATAGGTTACTACCTAATTTTGGTATTATGAGCTTTATGCATAGACCTATGCTTTTATGTTAATTGCAAAAAGTAAATAATAAGTAAAATTAATTGGTGTGACTCAACATTTTATACATTCTACTATAAATTTTTTTATATATTATCAATACATAACATACTTTAGTATATTCTTTAAAAGCACAATAATTGACTATAGGTGTTAATAATTACAAATATGAACATATTATTTAAAAAAAAATACAAATTTAATTTAATTTATAAATATGATTGTAAAATGTTATATTAAGTATATATATACATACAAAAAATTTTTCAAAAGTATAACAAAAATATAATTTAATTTAAAATAATAATAATTAAGCTCAGTTTACTAATCAAAATCATTAAAAGCGTACATTTTGCTGCCGTTTTTTTCTCCTTTCCAATTTCTTTTGTTTTTTCTCGTTTATTTCTGGTGAATTATCTTCTGGTGCTTTCTGCATAAAATAAGGTCCTAAAAAGTTTTTCCATAATATCCAGAATGCTTGACCAGGTGCCTTTAAAATGTAATTAATGAAATAATATATATACAATCCTACACAATTAAATTGTTTAACTTACTAGGAGCCACAGAAGCCAAAAGTAATTAGAAATAAGTGATAATAATTGACATCCTGATGTCAATATAATCAAATCCTTTGTATACCTAAAATAAAAATACATTACATAAATTAAATAATATAGATTAAAATAAAAAATGTCCATATAATTTGATCGTAACAAAAATACTATATAATTACTCGGCTAAACCTCCTTCCATGTTGAGATCTGTACCAGCATCTAATAACTGACCATTTTCAGTAAATTTAGCAGCTGACATATATGCCATGAATTTATAGCTACCACCGTGTGATGCTACAACAAGAGCATATAAAAACTGCAAAAATAAAAATTTAAGAAAAAATATTTATTAAACAATAATGGATTCACAAAAATCAAAATAATTCAATATTTATTTATTGGAAATATTAATGAAATACTTTAAAAAAATTATTATTATGCATTAATTCTAATTGTAGGAACTTATTATACTTTAAATTTTTATAAAAAGTCTTTGATCTTTATGAAAAACAAATGTTTACCCTCATTTTATTAAATTATTAACTATAAAAAAATAATATTTTACTTACAATGTTTGTAAGAGAAAAAACATTTCCAAAAGCCAATTGGACTATAATGTATATAGCGCTTACTGCTCCAATCATATTTCTATAAAACTTCAATGTGGCCTCATTCTCTTCAAATATTTGTTTTTGGCCTTTAGTGCCGGTTTTACCTTTTTGGGGCTGTTAAAGACAAATCAAATTTACATAGTAAAAGTCCAGTTAACTAGATAAATATAAGTATTATATATTTGCATACCGCCATCACTTGAAGTTCTCCGATTAATTCCTAATAGAACACGAGTGTCTACAATATTGACTTAAATATTATTTAGAATTAAAGATCTAGATGATTCAATAAGCTTAACATTTATTATTTACTTTCTATTTCAAATTTCAATTTGTTAGTTGATATTTGATAACATAGGTAACTCGTTATTAATGAGTTATCACTCAACCAGTTCGCGTCATAAACGCGTGTAGACACGTCTATCTGTCTATCAGTAACAGTTAACAGAAGCATGCTACCAACTTTACTGTGTGATGTGACATCAAACTTTTTAAGAAAATTAAAAAACAAAATAATTCATTTGATTTTTAAGTGGTGCATTCAACTCACTCAGGTTATAACTATTATGACTTTGAATTTTCGAAACTTAGTTCTAACAAATCTATTAGATCATGTATTAGTACAATATAATTTAAGAGCAAAACATGTATTCGAAAATAAATTTAACAAATCTTAACTTTACTGTTAATCCCACTGACATCCTTGTGTACGTATAAAGCGCGGCTTATGTGAACTGAATAATTGAATTTAAATCGATTAATCAATATAAGTTTTTTTTCACGATAAATACAAAATACAATTTACAGCCACGAAGATCAGAATATACTAATTAAAACTTATTATTTACAAAATACAATAGATCTTTGGTTTAAATATGATATGTGTTGTAAGTCATTACTATTTTTTAATTTGACTGCAAAAAAGTGACAAAAATGTAACAATAATTAATCTATTAAATAACTTTATTGACGCTGTAAAAGTATAAAACAAATAATAATTTCCCATTTGCCCGTCACGTCAATTGGTACCACAGATATATAATAACACTAGATAGCCGACTTCCTATAGCAGCAATATCAAATATTGAAGTTGGGAAAATGGCCGACTTTTCTTATCAAAGGGCCCATTGTTTACATAGTTCTTGTTGATAAAATTGTAATAACGTATTAAGATTAACGCATTACTGTAAATTGTAAATTGTAATATTACAATTCATTTTCTTTTAATTAATTTCTTTATTAAGATTAATTTAAGATGGTGCACAGATGTTTTGTTGGAAACTGTCCCAATAAAAAAATAACTGAAAGTGGTATTCATTTCTTTTCGTAAGTAATTATTTAAAATCACAAGGTTAAAATTACCTATAAATTATGTTTCATATAATTTATTTAATGTTTTGTTTTAAATAGATTTCCAAAAGACGATGATCTAAAAAAATTATGGTTAAAATCTATAAAATTAAAGTATGGTGTACAAACACAACATAGTCGTGTCTGTAGTGACCATTTCACTAAAAATGATTTCAAAACTATTGTGGGAGGTCGAAATCACATTTTATTAAAAAACGACGCTGTTCCTACAATTTTTATTGCTAAAAGAACAACAGAAAAAAATTAATGATGGCATAAGAATTGCATCAAATGAAAACCCTACGTCCTCACATGCTATAGATACTAATATACAACTAGTTGATTCAGCAATGTTATTGGAAGAAAATTCTATAGATGTGCAGCATGAAGACGCCCATATAGTGGAAAAGTCTGAAGTCGCAACCTGTAAGCGACCGAAAAGAAAACTTACTTATGGCTTAGTTGAAACTGAAAATAATATTAGCCCTTCTCGGTCATCTTACACGCTGCCAAAAAGAGGAAGACCTACAAACAAAAGTCCAGCTACACCTCGTAAAACATTAATTAAGAGCAAAGTTAAAATCCTGCAACAAAAAGTAAGAAGACTAAAAACTAAAATAAAAACTCTTAACGATGTATTGGAAGAATTAAAAAAAAAAGGGTTGATTGAAAATGATCCATGTGATCTTATAGAAAATGAATTTGAAGGCATTCAACTCGAAATTTTGAAAAATGAATTGACTAATAAGAAAAGAAAGCCTACCGGATGTAGATATAGCGATGAAATTAAAAAATTTGCTCTTACACTTCATTACTATTCGCCTAAGGCATATAAATTTTGTCGGTTAGTACCTACTAATATCTAAGTAAGAAACAGTCTTGGGTAAAATACTTTTTAAAAGTATTTGGAATAAATACTCGAATATTCATGAAAAATAGTATTCCGAATATGTATTCGAATACATAATAAAAATAGTATTCTTAATGAAGTATTAGAATACTATAAAACTATTCCAATACTTTAAAAATATTTTTTTGTTTTAGATATTAATAGAATAATAATTGCTTTTGTGAAATTATAGCCAATGTTTAAATATATTGTTTGTAAATTAAAATAATAATATACTTAACTATGACAATTTATGATTTACAATATACAATAATAATTATCTGCTATTATTATATTTTATGAATAAAATTATTTATATTATCAAAACATGTTGGTAATTACAAATTTCCAACACCAATTATACGTTTTCTATTGATTATTTTTAATTTTTATAATTATTTTTTAACTATTATTGTGTAATACATTATAGATCAATATTCAAACTCCCTAATGAGACTGCTTTAAGAACTTGGACATCAACAGTTAATGGGGAGCCCGGATTTTTCATTGAAGTTTTTGAAGCTTTGAAAACCTTAAAACTTGAAAACAGAGATTGCAATTTAGTTTTGGATGCAATGTCCATAAAAAAACAAGTAATCTGGGACAAAAAAGCACATCAGTTTATAGGTTATTGTGATTTTGGGGGACAGCTTAATATTGAAGGGTCAGAAACCGCTGCTACTGAAGCATTAGTGTTTATGCTTGTCGGTCTAACAGGAAAATGGAAAATACCGGTGGGTTATGTTTTCCAGAATAAACTCAATGCTATGTGTCAAGCTCAGTTAGTCAAAGCTGTACTGACTTTAGCTCATAACTCTGGTTTGCGCGTATGGGGGGTAACATTTGATGGAGCAGTTACCAATTTCTCAACATTTAAAATATTAGGTTGCGAATTGGGTAACAACATTGAGAATTGTAAGCCATGGATTAAGCACCCTGTAGATAACTCACAAATTTTCATTATACCTGACGCTTGTCACATGCTAAAATTAGCTCGGAACACATTAGGGAACACATTGGTACTTGAGTCACCTAGTGGTTTAATTAAGTTTAATTATTTTGAAAACTTGCATCGATTGCAAACCGAGTTGGGTTTAAAGTTTGCAAACAAGTTAACTGGTGTACACATTGGATGGAAAAAAAATAAAATGAAGGTTAAAATTGCTGCTCAATTATTAAGTTCATCGACAGCCAATGCTCTACAGTTTTTATTAGATAACAACTTTGAACAATTTAAAAACAGCGAAGCTACAATTAAGTACTGTAGAGTAATAGACCAAATATTTGACTTTTTAAATTCAAGAAGTCCCTTTTCCAAAGGTTACAAAACGCCTATTTTTAGATCAAATATAGGCATTTTACAAGACAAAATCATCCCACTAATAAATTATTTATCAACTTTAAAATATAAAAATCAATTGCTCTACATGACAAACAAAAAAACATTTATTATAGGATTTACAGCAGCAGTGAAATCAATGTTTGAAGTATCAAAAATTATATTTACAGAAAACCTAAATTTTAAATATATTCTTACATACAGTTTCTCTCAAGATCATATAGAAATACTTTTTGGTCGTTTTCGTCAACGATTCGGAGCAAATAACAATCCAAATGTAATGCAATTTAAGACAGCAATGAAGCAGATATTATTGAAAAATTCTATTAAATGCTCCAATAATAGCAACTGTAATACATTTGATGAAGACATTACTCTGTCATTATTTTCATTTACATGGCCTTCCAAAAAAAAATATACTTTAACCGATAGTTATGATCCCAGTTATGATAATGAAAACATAAATAAAGACATTATAAATCGATCAAAATTACTGAATAACACTAATTCTAACTATAAAGATTGCAAAGAAAATATCTTGTACTACATTTGTGGATATGCAGTGAAAAAAATTGCAAAATTGTTAGAATGTACTTCATGCATTGAATCGCTTATTGAACCATTTGTTGAACATAACTACAGCTGTACAGAAAAATATAAACAATTTACTAATTTAAGAAATAATGGAGGTCTTATATTTGCTTCTAAATGTGCATTTAAAATTATAAATGAAGCAGAAATGTATTTTTTAATTTTAACTGAAAATTTGAAACACTTAAATATTCAAAATTTAGACCTTAAGGTAATCTATTATTGTAACAAAAAGTTTTGCTTAGATAAGAATATTTTTGCAAATTTATCATGCAATGGGTCATTGCTTGATAGACCCCACAAAATTATATTAATTTCACTATTAGTCAAGCAATATTTAAGTATAAGGCTCCATTCATTTGGAAAAATGTTTTCCACTGAAATTTTGAATGAAGTTAGTGACAGACAAAAATTGACCAAACAGATACTTTTTATGAACCAATAAAAGGGTTCTTTTATTTTGTTACAACAATCTTTAAGTTTTAAAATGTTTAAATTTATATTATTACTATGTTATTTAATAACGAGTTTTCATTAGTATGTTGTTTCAGTTTGTATAAATAATTTTATACTTACTTATATATAATTATGTAAAATGTCCATGTACTAAGTTTCTATTTTAATATTAGTAGTTTTAATTTGTTATACTTATATATAATAATTTGTAATGTTCCTATGTTTTAATTATCTACCAAAGTTTCATTTTTTATGTTACCTAACTAGTTGTTTCAAATTTTATTAGGTATTAAATATTAATTGTAAAAATAAATAAAAGGTTTTTCATTGGAATTAATATATTCTAAACTTTTTCTATTATTTTAATTTTCATATTAATATTTAACATAAATAACGACAAATTAAAATGGTAAAATACTACTTTGTCATGGCAAAAGTACAAGTACATAACATTATAATTTATAACAATAATCATTGATTCTTTATTATCAAAAATCATAATGTAAACAAGGGGCTCTTTGATAAGAAAAGTCGGCCATTTACTGGACTTCAATATTAGTTTGTAGTCGGCTATCTAGTTGTATTATATATCTGTGATTGGTACAGATGACCAAGTATCCAAGTTGCCTGATAATGGTTTGGAAAACAGTTGTTGTAAAACACAACTTCAATTACGAAAGTTCATCAGAACAATTTCAGACGACTCTTGTTAAGTAATAAGTGGAATATAATTTATTATCTAAATGTTTAAATAACTCTAACCTTAACCACAGTTACCTGGCTCCGTCAAACTAATATTGATAAAATTGATACCACGGTGCATAATTGATAAGCACTTGTTATTCTTTTACTCACGTGCTTTCGTGTATTGTTTAGTGCGCACTACGATTGTGCCACTACGAAATCGCAATTCCGAATCCGTGGTCAGTTATTACTTGTTTTCTACTATTATAACTTATCTGTTGTCGACCTGCTTACAATGGCCAAAAGTATAAGAAGTAAGTGGCGCCGGAAGATGAGGGCTATCAAGCGAATCAGGTATGGCGTGAAGGAATTAGACAGATTGAAGAATATGCTGGTGAACGCCGGAGAAATAGAAGTCAAGGAAGGCGGTGAAATTGAACATGTCTGTTTAGGTAACTTATTTTTCTTTTATTAAGTCGCTTATGGCTTAAAGTGTATTTGTTGTGTACAAAGAAATAATCTGGTGAAGGTGAACTGGGCATTTGATAGTAGAAATCATCCTAATATTTATGTTGTTCAGTTTTACAGTACAGTAATGTATAAACTACAGTATTTCCATTTTTCATGTCATATTACATCTTTAAAGTCATAATAATAATTGTCTCTGTAGAAATATAAGCATAATGGATATTAATTTTATTTTCATATCAAAATACATAATCGTTAATTGTTAGGTATGATAAGGTATTTCATGTTAATAGATAATTCTCATAAATCAATGTGGTACATTTGTATTTTAAAACATAATCATTTGTTTAACATATTGTTATTTAATGGAAAAAGTATAAAATGTATTTACTGAGTTTGTGGAGGCACTTAATACCTTCTGATTCATAATATAATAGGCTTAATTATTTGGATGTAATTTTTTTTATTTCAAATCGACTACAAGAATCTGTTAACCATAACTGTGTTTGAGTTAAAATATGTTAATGAGTTACAATGTTTGCCATTTACACCTTATTACTGTTTTAGATTAATATTAAACACGCCATGTTATCAATACTATTATAATAATTGATTTAAAAGTTTATGAATTGACAATGCACTAAATTAAAGTTTTGCATATAGACTATTAAAAATTAAATAATATTTTAATTACCATCGGCCAATATCTTAACATTTAAATAAGTAATCAACTTGAAATAATTATTAGTAATATACTGGTAACGTCTATATTTATATATTGTTTCACAATTGTATAATTGATTAATTCTATAGCTAAATATTTAAAATGTTTAATTAATATTACATTAATATAAAATAACTCTTTAATCTTTTTTATAGTCAAAGCTAAAAATGAAGAAGCTGAAAAAATTCAACAAGAAAAGGAAGAAAAATCCAAAGTGGACAAAACTACAGAATCTTTAAAGGAAACTTCTAAAAAAGTTAAACATCCAACTTGGCTAAGAAAAAAAGAATACAAAAAATACATAAGAAGCTATAGAAAACAACAATCAATCAATGCTAAAAGAATAAAGGGAACAATTAAAAAAAAAAAGTAAAGCTGTAAAAAACTTGTAATTTTGACCATTTTAAAAATAAAATTTGACTGTTTAAAGTTTATCATTGAGTTTTTAACAAGTTCAACTTTACAAAATTTATTGCACAATGATTATAATCCATATAATATTGTATAATTAATACTCAATATTTTTAATAAATTGAGTTGTATATAGTTAAAACAAATATAGACATTTCTAAACATTGATTTTTTTTTTATGTAAAGAAAATCAAATAAATACATTTTAGTATATCTTTTATTAATATAATAACATTAAACTAGTAAATTGAAATTTATTTAATAAATCAAAAATCAATTTCAGATTTTAATAATTTTTAATACAGACAACACTGTTTAATATTTTTTTAAACTTTTTTTGCTATACCAAGTAATATATCTTTATAAAACATTAACATAATAAAAATTATATAAGCATCAAACTATTTTTAATATTTTTAGCATAAAATAAAATTTTGCTCAAACATAAAACTTAGTTTAATGAATTAAGGGGATTTGGTACTGATCTTGTTCAACCTATCACCACTCGTATGAATTTTTAATGTCAAAAAATTAACAACAGATTAAAAATTTACTAAAACACGTGTAAAAAACTATTTTTAAATATTTACAAGTATATCATAATAAGGTATTATAAGTTTTAGACAACATTATTAAGATTTTTATACATGTACATCAATTTTAACTGAAATGAATACTAACCCTGAGTAAATGGCAGCAGTGATCTCTTAATAGCAGATTATGGAATTTATGTTTTCTAAAAATATAATATAGTGCATCTTGTAAATATGTATGCAGTAACTGATCATAAGTATGTGCGATATTAGTTGAAAATTTAATCATAACTTGTAGATTTATTGATTCATATCGTCACTTATAATTTTATCATTAACATAAATGTCAAATCTAGCTTGAAGTAATAGTTTTCCTTTAATCAGTGATGATAACAATGTTGCACCATCACAGAATAGATAAAAACAGTTTCATAAAAAATATGTTCATTTCCCATTCAAATACTTATTTGTAGTTTAATATATAAATAACAAACAGTAGGAACATCAAAAATTAAAAGCATTCATTAAGTAACGCAGGACCTAAAATGCTAGATCTTATATGATTGATTAATATGTTTGAATTGGAAAGTTAAGTAGGATATAATAACCAATAAATAATTTTAGTGAAAATTAAATAAACAACTCATTTTGTTAAAATAAATCACTGACCCATTTTCATTCTATTTATCATTTTTAATAAATGACAACATTAGGAACAATATTATAGTATAACTTTTTTCATATTACTAAACCACACATTAATTTTAGTATTTTCCTGTACATCTTTGAAAGCCATACAACCTTCAATACTTGAAAGAGTACCATACACAGCTAGATCAGCTAAGTTTGGTTTATTACCACCCATAAAAGTTCCTCCATTTTGTTCTACTGCTTTTACCCATGTATTACATTCTTCATATAACGATTGGCGTACATCATCTTTTAGCATGTATCTATTAAAACATCAAATATAATATAGTTGTTAATTATATTAAATAATGTAATAATTAAAAAAAAATTACTTTTTCTTCAATTTTTTACTAATTATCCACATCATAAAGGCTCCACCATATACCATAAAAATGGTTTCCCAAAAGGGGAAATTTTTTTCCCATTCACCAACTATTGAAAACCATTTAAAAGAATCTATAGCTTCTGACAGAGTACGGTAAGCATTTGGTGAGAGTGCATGGACCAAAGTTTCATCAGTCCATTTTCTCCATTTTCTTTCATTTCTAAAAGAATTTTTCATATTATGTTTAATAGATCATTTCTTAATAATAGAACTTACTCAAAATTTGAACGTTTTGATTTTTCAGATTCGTCTTCATTCATAATAAAATATTTGTTCATAATGTCTGTCTTTCTCTTTCCATCGACATCAACGAAAGATATTGATGGATAAAAATTTGCAATATCTTCAATGCTGAATGTTTTATCTTTTAAATAAGTAGCAAGAGCAGATACAATCATTGTGCTATCAGTAAGTGGTTGATAACCATTACTTGATTTTACTAATAGAATGGGAACTTTTTTATAATCAGACCAGCTTATTTGCTGTTTGAGCATAGGGTCTACTTCAATGATATCATATGGCACCTTAACATAATCAAGAAACGCTCGCACCTTACAACAAAATGGACAAGTTGGATATTGAAACAAAATTAAATCAGCATGTTCATCATTATTGTGTCGCACCTGAAAATACAAATTATAAATATAATAAATTTAAATGCCATAAAAATTAAGGGTAATGGTCATACTTTTCGGGTGACCTTCAATTCAGGAGGCAATGTCTTCAAGATTGGTATTTGTTTTGGAGTATTTACTATAGAACCGGGTAGTTTTCGCTCTGAATCTGAGAAATATGAATATGCTGCTCCAATTACAACACCAATGGCCACACCACCACCTATTAAACGTGCTGTGCTTGTACGTTTTCTAGCGTGTTTAGCTAGTGGCGACTCATTATTGAAATGTTTCATACGATTAAATGGATTGTTTATACGTAATAAAAACGGTCTTCCAGCAACTGTTTTTATATGTAAACGGGCAACAGCCACTCGCAATGCCATTTTCGTTATTTTTTAATCTTACTTACCTATAAAAAAATGTATAAAGGTAACAAGTCTTGTTTTTTAAAATTACAATTAATTAACAGCAGAAAAGTTTAGTTATTTAAACATTTAAAACTTACAAGTAAAATTATTAACAACTAAGAATAAAATTATTGATCATTATTGAAGTACAATGTATTTTGTTCAATATCCACTTTTCACCGTCAAAAAATACATGATCTAATATTACCTAAATAAATCTAATATTTAATAGAATACAGAATATACAGATAACAAAATCAAAGTAATATGGTAATTTTTAAACTGCATGTTAAAAATTTTTGTTTTGTGTAATTCTGCATGCACTGGCTTATCAACTCTAGTCTGCACATGTTTGTTGATAACACAGAAATGATCAATTCTGACGCCTGACGCCTGGACCTGACTACCTGAGTACTAAATAGTGAATACTGAATACTGATTAATGATTATAGACTAGTGTCTACTGTCTGTCTACTAAATAGCGAGTACCTACTGACAGTTTAAGTAATTTAATCGTTTAATAATTGTAAATTCGTCTCCAAGTCTTACCCTCTTAAGCCATGGCAGGTAAAATGATTGATCTGAAAAATTTGAACGTGCAGCAACTTGCAAAAATGAAGGAACAGGTATACAAAGAAGTGAGTTTAATACAAGATTCGTTACAATCCTTGAAGATGGCACAGAAAAGGTACATTAGTTCACAAGAGGCGCTGGAGAGTGCCAAAGGACGAGCATCAGGTACATCTATGATGATTCCTTTGACCAAGTCCATGTACGCCGCTGGACAATTAGCCAATCCCGAGCATGTGACTGTGTGCATAGGTGCTGGATATTTTTTAAAGCTTGAGATTGAAGATGCAATTCAATACTTCAAAAGACGTGTCAACTTCCTTGTTGAACGAATGGAAGGCATCCAACAGATTGGTTTAGAAAAACAAAAGCTACAAAATGTTGTTACTGAAGTACTAGAGATGAAATTACAACAAGCTCAAACTGAAAATAAATAAATAACAGTTATACTAACCTTTTTTAATTACTTTTACCTAACATTTAATTAAAATAAAACTAAAGCTAAATATTTTGTTTTTAATACCTATTAAATTAAACTAATCAAATGTTCGTTAAATATTTTCTATAAATGATTGGTAATGCTTCTTGTCCTTATTGGAGCATTATTTTTGTATAGCATTGAGAATTCTTATTGTCAAAATATTTAATATTTGTGTGATAAATTATTGAACTAAAATATTATATGTACTAAAGATTCTGTCAAAATATATATCAATTATTAATGGATCACATATTTAAATATTTGTGTTGAAAAACATTTTGTTCAAGTATTGTATGTATCTATTCATACAAAGGTGTAATTAATTATAAATATAAAAGGTGGTCAAGTGGGTATCACTATGTATTGCTGTAATGTAGGTGTTAAGTGTGTCACTGTAAAAAATATTTTAAATTTAAATTCAAAGATAAATCATTATAACAAATGAAATATGATTCAGAGTGTTTGTCAGCTTATATCACTAAGTTAATTAAATTTTTTCTGAAAACATAGTATATCATATTTTTATACCATATTATATTATCCTTATTAACTTGATTAAGTCAATATCACTCCTTAATATAAAAGTATAAGAATATCTAAAAATTAATCTACATTTTTAAAAACTTTATTGCATATACCTAAGTTCATAATATGCATATATATCTCCACAAATAATATTTTTAAATTATAAAAAAAATAATTAAAATTGTTAAAACATGCGATTTTGTCTAAATTTAAACTTTAAATATCCATAAAATAAAATATGTTTGTTCATTTTTTGGTTCTAGTATGAAACTATTTATGAAAAACATGACATAAAATTTTCAAATCTAAGCTATAAAAATTTAACTTCCAAGTTCAAACGCATAAAAAATATTAGTGTCTATTAATTTAATTGGTTATTAAAAAAAAACTTAGTAGGAATTGTTTACTTTTTACCCCAAAAGTACCAACTAGATCCAATTTACTACCAATAACCACCGCAACTCAAAAGTGTGATCATAAATTCCAATTTCCATATCGTGCTTGACGCTTGTACCGTACCAAGTAGTAGTGTAGTACTTGTACAATGTTTAAAAAAAAATAATTTACAATCCTGTAAGGAACATGGTTGTCGGGTGGAACTATAATGTACCGAGAGCCGTGGCAACACTGTATTCTGGTAAAGTTTTGTAATCGACGTTTTATCGTTTTACCTCTATCAAATATATTCTATTGTAGAAGTGTCGACTTGGCGTAATGTCGTATTCTTAAATAATAAACATATTGTGTATGTTTATTTTCCGGTAGGTGTTTGGTTAATTTAATCTTTTATCTATGGCCGGTACTCTATTCTCTAGTCTGAGTAGTCAGTATTCGTCAATTATAACGTGTCAATTATTATTATTTAATAGTAAGAACTTAACAAAAGAATGGCCAATCGAACGGTAAAAGATGCAAAAACTATTCACGGTACAAATCCTCAGTATTTGATCGAAAAGATCATTCGGTCTCGTATTTATGACAACAAATTCTGGAAAGAAGAATGTTTTGCTTTGTCTGCTGAATTGCTGGTGGACAAGGCAATGTCAATGCGATTTATAGGAGGAGTATTTGGCGGTAATATAAAACCCACACCTTTCTTGTGTTTGACATTAAAAATGTTGCAAATACAACCTGAAAAAGATATCATTGTAGAGTTCATAAAAAATGAAGAATTCAAGTATGTGCGAGCGCTTGGAGCATTTTATATGCGTTTGACAGGCTCATCAGTAGATTGTTATAAGTATTTGGAGCCGTTATTGGCTGACAGTCGTAAGTTGAGAAGACAAAATCGAGATGGCCAGTTCGAGCTTATACATGTTGATGAATTTATTGATTCACTGCTACGAGATGAACGTGTGTGTGATGTTATATTACCACGTATACAAAGCAGACATGTGTTGGAAGAAAACAATGAATTAGAACCCAAAGTGTCTATACTTGAAGAAGACATTGAAGAAGGTGTTGAATCATCAGATGAAGAAGAACCTACTGAGAAACGAAGAGAAAAGGAACATAGAAATAAACATTCTCCAGTTAAAGAAAAAAGAAGAGACAGAGAACGTGAAAAAAGGAATAGAGATAGAGATCGAAGAGATCGTGATAGGAGTGATAGAAGAGATAGAGACCGACATAGAAGAAGCAGAAGTCATGATCGTGAACGAACAAAAAGACATAGATCTAGATCACCTTATAGAAAATAAAACATTTTCATTTGTACACTTGTATATTTTTTTCCAATAAATAAATAATTTTAATTCAATCAAAATAATCTTCTATATCAATATTAGGATCTAATAAGTCATTCATTAAATTAGTTACATCAATTTGATTTAATATTAAATTTTCACACATTTCTTCTAGATCAGTGTCCCCAATAAGCATAGCTCCAACAACTCTTCCATTTTGTAATACTAATTTAATGTATTCTTGCCCATTAGTCACACGAACCAATAGCTCACAATCTTTCTTGTCCAATCCTTGTGCATTATACAAGCCTAATAAGATAACTTTAAATCCAAAAAATGATGTTACATGAGTAAACAATTCAAAACAAAAGTCTTGCAATAATGTTTCTTTTATATGCATAGAATGCATGCACTTGGCAGCATACATTCCCATTTGTCTTGCTTGACTCCATAGTCTCATTTGGAACCAATGTTCAGATTTCCAATCTACAGTACATACATCACCGGCTGCAAAAATATCTGATAGATTTGTTTCCATTTTCCAATCTACTTTAATACCACCATCACTAGCAATGTCAATACTTTTACCATCTCTTATGTCAAAATTACTATTCGGTATTACTCCAGTAGCTGATATGACAAAATCACATTCATACACTTTACCGTTAGTTAATTCTATCCTAACTACATCACTTTTAGAAATATTTTTGATTTCAGTCTTATACTCAATAATTACATTTTTACCGTCGTGGTTTCCAAACATTGCTCCACAGTGCCAGTCAGGACCTAGTGCAGCTCCAGAAGTTCGTTCCCCGCAATATCTAAATCTTTTGATTACTCTGTCGCTTGATTGCTGAGTGTTAAGGTTGTTATTAAAGAATTCTGCTGCACCAGCATCCAGGAAATGTGAACTAATGTGTTCATCCCTAATAACCCAAATAATTTCGATACCATTTAACTTGTAAACCAAATCAGTTGCAATACCTCCATTACCAACAATCAATACTCTATTAGCAGTACCAATAATTGATTGAAAATACTCCACAGAATGTGTATCACGCAATCCAATAACATATTCTTTGTCATCCAACAATTTTGGAGTAGCACCTGTACATAAACACAATTTTTTATACTTGATTTCTTGATGATTAACAGTATAAATTATGTGCTCTATTGAGTTGATTGCAACTACTTTATCGATTATGTATTCCGTATTATCAACGCATTGGAGATTCCGATCCTCAACTTTAAATCCTGCAGCAATTTTGGTATAAAACTTAATATCAGTGACCACTTTGACAATTGGTGATTCTGAAATTAAAAGCACTGGCTCTGTTGTATACAATTTCAAAGCTTCAACACAACTTATTCCAGCTATACCTCCACCAATCACAACATAGGTTGAATTGATTTGCTGGTTTTGACTCATTGTGCGTTCTACTACGATAATAATAATAATTATAGTTACTCACATTCCATATTCTCAATTATGATTTTTAAATTACATATATTTTATTTAAAATAAATTATCAAAATAATTTAAAATACATTTTAAATTCTAAAAAATTCTAACAAGTGATAACACTTATCAATTGTTATAGAAAAAGAGAGGGATTAATAAATAGATAAATAAAAAAAACAATAACAATTTAATATTTTTTTGGATAAATAACATCAAAGACATGCTATACAATTATATAGCTTTATAACATTATAACAAATAAAATAATCAGAAATAAATCATGATTTTTTAATATTTTATAACATGTACAATATTATCTCGGCAATGTTTTATATCTCTGACAATAATTATTTTTAAAATAATTTAAGTTCATACAATTGCAAAAAATAATAATAAAATAATAAATTTATATTAATTTCTTTATTATTTTGGTTGTATACATCTAACTAAAATAAAGAAAGATGATATAAAGGAACTTAAAAAGTTGAAAATTTATAATTACATACCTAAAAAATTTAAGAATAATTTAAGATAGGTACCTATTAATATATTTATATTATCACAAATTCCAAATTCAATTTCATGCAATGGCTGATATTAAAACATGGGAATATTAAATATAAACAATGAATCCTCTTCTTTTTTCATCCATTGTGTTAATTTAGTAACCGCATTTGTTGCATTTTCTTTAGAAACTAGTGGTTCAAAACACATATACAATTCAACATCTTCAGTTGCCTAGAACAATGTTAAATTATTCTTATAATTCAACATTTAATATAATTTTACTACGTAATATAGTATATTAAATATAATTTACATACCCAAGCAAGCATAGTTTCAGCTGTTAATTGTTGAAAAATCACTTTTAATGTACGCCCAGGGAAATTAATTTGGCTAATTAATGAAGAATATACTGACATGAGATTTTGTTGTAATTCATTGGTATTATATGGAGATGTAAATGGAGGGCACCAGTGTTGTGACCGATTTTTGTTTTTGTATAAAAGATGCCGCAATCCTGTAATATTTGCTCGTGCTAAGCTAATGGGTTGGCGAATAATTGCCTCGTTAATTGCATGGAGACAATCATTGCAACGCATTTTCTGTTACAAAAAATTAATACATTTATTTATTATGTGAAAATAAACTATTCATACAGTTTAATAGTTATGAATGACTATAAAATGAAACAAGAGAAGTATTAAAAATTAAATAAATAAAACAAACTTCAGTGATTTTTCTTTTGGCATCAGAAAGTGTAAAAAAAAGATTATGATCAATTGTTAATAAAACTAAACATGCTTGACAATCTTCTGCTAGATATGATATATGAGCGTGCATGTAACCACTGAAAAAGTTATAAACACAATTATAATGAAAACATTTTGGCATACAATTTTTGAAACATATTTAAGAAATATTTTACCTAGAATCAAATGTAGGTAAACATATAGGTGTCCAACTCTCTGCTGTTTTAAATGATTCCGTTGAATTAATTAAGTTTAATATCAAGTGAATATCAAACACATGCAGTGAATATTTTTTCATACGTACAATAGATATAACATGTTTTTGAGCAATCAATAAACCAAATACTAAATTCTAAAAATATTAAATATTTATTAATATAAAATAAAATAATTTAAAATATAATATCAATATTTTTTTACTTTAATTTTACTACATTGTGTCAATATTGTTTGTGTTATTTTATCTCTGCTACTAGATGGCATTTGTAGACAACTAATAGAATCTAATAAAAATCCTGGATCATTCTCAGTAAACGTTATAAGTTTGTCTATTAATCTTTCAGATCCACTCATCAATCGCCGTAAATCAAAATTAGTTCTATTGTGAAAAATTTTTTTTAACTGAGTTAATGTCAAAGTACTAATTATATTGTTATACACATATCTATAAAAAAAAGTAACAAAGCATGTGTTAATCTAAAATAATTAATATTTTACATATTTAGTTTTAAAATTATATGAGCTATATTATAAATTACGTTAATTGTTTTTTAATTTGGTCATAAGGCTCAGAAGATTGGGAAACACCGACCAATATAAGAGGATCTTTATTCAAAAACACTATTCGAGTCTGACCACAACAAATTGACTGCAATGTGTCGTTTGAATCTTGAGTCACCGACACTAAAGCTATCATTAAACCAAATAGGGAGGCCATTTGGTTTTCATTTCCAAACCTATACATGAAAAGTATACAAATAAAATTTAAAAAATTTAATTTTTATGATACAAATGCAATTAACTGTATTTTTTAATTAGTGTTTTATTGATACACTGATCTACTGAAAACTGCTCAGGAAACTGCATTTGTTTCATTATTGTTTACTTAAAAGATATATTTACCGTGTGTATATAGGTTTACCGGCTGTACTTAAAACAAATATATGTTTATTGTTTTCTTTAAGTTGATCTAATAAAATTTCATAAGAACTTCCTTGTTCTGAACAACTCGGTACAGGCTTATCTTCAGCAACAGATTTACTATTTTCTGGATCGTGTATAGCAATATCATTTATATCAGAAATCAGTGTAGTTGTATCAGTTTCTTGAGTTTTCTCCATATCATATACTAAAAGAAAAATATTGTAAAGAACATATGATATCATTAGACGTTAATTAAAAAAAAACTTATTATGTAGTTTATATATTATACCTGAGTAATTAAAATCCAATGAATGTGCAATACATAAAAATATTTATTGGTTTATTATAAATTGAACAACCAGATACAGTATAAAATCTAATAGTTAATGAATTTGTTGACAACTTTGGAACCTAATCGGCTTTAAAACATAAATTATGATCATTTTCAATCCTTACACAACCGGTTATAATCACAAGTACCTAGCATATAAAACATATCATAATATTTATACCAGTTGCGATAATTTTTTACTAATAAAGAGCAGCACGGTCAAATGACGTTTCCAATGATACATAATGCATAGTTCAACACCGGCAACACTCATCAATCAACACTTCTACTGGCGAATGGCGATGTCAGTAGACAGCATTCAAAGCAGCACAGCGCGAAATTTATCATCTAGTCGAAACTCAGAAATCAGAGTATTATTGTCACAAAAAATTTGCAGATAAGCATCCTGATAAAATTATTAACATATTATTGTTTTTAATCTGTGATGATAATAGCCGTGATAATGAAAATAATAATAACGAGATAAACAATTCGGAATGCGGAAGTTACTACGCCAGACACCTGCATCTGTAGTCTTACAAATGTACCTATATGGAAAATGTTCGTGCTATAGAACCATCAACCAATTTTGTGTGTTTAGCTTAAATACCAGATTACTAGAACGAAATGACCCATTATCAAATTTTGAGGGAAGAACATTATCTGTGTTTTTTTTATTAATACCTATTTAAAAATGCTCATAATTCACTAATAGATCATTTTACTCTAATATTTAAGCTAAACGCATATAATTGGTTTTATTGAATGAAAATTTGCCATGCTGTATGTTTTATTTGGGAGTAGCGTCTTCTTAAAAGCACAAAATATAGATAATAAACTAGAAAGCTACAAAATTAGCAGGCCAATGTGATATTATTGATCGTAAAATAAAAATAACATAAAATATATATTAAAATATAAAATAAAATACCAATTTAAAGAAATTTATTTTAATAAACAATAAATAACGATTGATAATGAAAAACAATAAATAATGACGATCTTCTAAGACCGTGGATGTCACTATCGAAATACCTATCATACAACAGAATAATACCTGTGGACGCGGCGAAAAGTGAACCGCGATCGTCACGCACTCAATCGGTATTTTTTCTGTTTTCAGTGATTCTACATTTGACAGAAATGGAAACATTTGGCATGCATTTTAAAAACGGCAGGAGGTAATTTAGTGCTATTCATCGCATTTTGGATATACATAATCGTTTGTTATCTATATAGTTTTTGATTCTACTATAGTCGGAAGAATGAAAAGTGACCGCTGATGCAAATGCTCCCGGTGGTAAATTTCTATAATGAGTAGGTATAAGTATAATTCTAGGAGTAAGCTTATTTACTTGCCTTTAATATAGGTCTTATAGGACCCGACTCTATGGTCTTCAAGATATGTATCTAAACTACTTGCAAATGTTGAACTAGATACAAATGAAAAGGGTTTATAAATGTGCTTGTCAGTTGTCCTGAATAGTTTCTGTTTAAGTTATTAGTTGATCATTTTGTTCTTGAATATGCACAGTGTTTGACGTTTGTTAGTGAAAAATCTTCTTTTTTAATAACTATGAGAGAACGCATACGGTGATCGACCGAAACTTGTCTTTCACTGCGCATCTTCAATCCTCATACAAAACTGTCACATGGGGGAATTATTGTATGCTAATCATAGGTACAAAATATTTGAAAAGGGGCTGCAAATGGTTTAATGACTACTAGTACGAAACATCTGTTGCGATCACCCCCTAGTCTGTGTCGCTGACTATTTCACACAATACAACTACACAAGTATCTTATATATTTTAGCTTTCGATAAAATTATCGATTAATATAAAATATAAATAATAAACTGTATTAACCTTCATTTAATTGAGTTTTTTGTCATTTGAGCATAAATCTAAAAATAAATACAATATACCTATTGATTATTTGAAATATAACTAATAAGCTGTAATAGACATGTTATATAAACATCAATAAATAATTTTTTTAGTTGTAATTAAATGGCCTCAATAGTTTTAATAAGTTTCAAGTAAAATAGTTTAAAAACTAGGGGGACTATAGATAAAACTGAGGGGCTAAGTACGATCAAAATAGATATGTATGTTTAATCCATTATATTTGTATTAAAATATTGTAATTAACTTCTATCGTATGATAATTTACAATTCATTGCAACATAATATGCTTGTATAAAAGTAAAATGTTACTTACATTATTATTATTTTTATATTTATAATTACATAAATACATTATGTCACTTTATTACTACCATGCCGCAATTGAGTCTCAGTAGTCTACAATCATAGTCCTAGAAATAATATTATAAATTTTAATTTTTTATGATTACTTGGATAATAAATAATTAAGTAATATTCATTTTTAAGTAGTTATAATCAAATAATCAAATAGGATTTTTAAGTATTAGTTATACTCGTATATATTATTAGTTAATAAAAACAAAAAACAGAATTAGAGGAAAATATTAAAAAACAATATAAAATAAATCTCATTCTCATCACTACAGGTATGTTAAGCTACTGTTAAATTTGGTATCTATTTAGGCACCTAATATGCTTAGACTATAAAATAATAAGCAAATGAAATTAAAGAAGCATATAAACAAATAAATATATCATACAATTTTCCAGACAAGCTTTTTCTTCATCTAATTATATTCCTGCAACTTTACGAGATCTGTTATCATCATATCAGTTACATATAATACGTTTTCCCACTTCCCACAATGGCCACAATCGCACAATGTATCTAAACAATTCAACGGTCAGTATACCTAAGCTGTACAATAGAATATAATATCTATGTCTAATTATTACAGTGTTGTACTGTCGTATATTATACTAACAAATACTAGGCTGTAGCCTAGAAGTGCGAAAAAAAAAATACCTTTTTAATAAATCATAAGCGCAAATAAATTTCGGAGTTGGTAAATTGCGTCCCACAAAAAAGGTCTTAGTTATATACTGTGTAAATTGTGGCCCGAGTATATTTTATACATATGTAAATTGCGGCCCGGGATATTCCGATTTCCGGTCGGCTGGTTATATTATCTTTAATATTAATTGATAAGGATATCACTTGATGCTCACTTATATAATATTACTAGCCGCCAGTGTCAGTGTGCATTTGATCGAAATATTTTGCACGAGTTTTTACATTGGCCTACAGTATTTACAGTATTTGGTAAATTAGTATTTGTATTTTTTTTTAAATTTTTTAACAATCCTTAATGTAATTTACATAACAATGACAAATTATTAAGTAGGCAAATATATTAAAATATAACGGGGCCGCAATTTACGTATGTATAAAATATACCCGGGACACAATTTACAGCGACCCATTAATTTTACAAAAATAAAGTGTATTTAATAAGTTAAATATAAGTTTATACTGTATATACTGAGTCATTATCTTAAATAATTATTAACTTTCACCGTGATTCGTTATGATTATACATAACTTAAACTGAACTCGATCAGCATTGATGTATTTTTGAATTATAAAAATACATATATATTTAATCAAAATTAATAATTTTATAATTTTATAATTAAACTTATAATATAACAGGTAAAATCAGTGGCGAACCCAGGATTTTAGTACTGTGGGTCTGCCTCACTTATGAGAGGCCACTGTGTAGAAGGTTCAATCAACTGTACATTACATTTACCTTATTTATATTACATATATTAATATAGTAAATACTATAACTAAAAGAGATAAAGCATAAGTCATAACTAATTTTTTAATACAATTTAAAACTGACTTATAAACTTTGATATTATTAATTAATTCAAATTGAATGGGTTTTTCATATCTTTCTAATTTCTATACATCATATATCATAATATTCATAATATATTATATTTATATTTATACATTTACAATTATATTTTCATAGAAATGTTCTTGAGTCTGTGTACATTTTATAAATTACTAATAACACCATATTATTAGTTTATATTATTTCTATTTTTGATTATCGTAGTATTGTACATATTTATGTAGTTTGTCATTTTGAGAGGCCACATTTTACTGAGAAAAAAAAACGGTGGGTCAGCTGACCTCCCAAACCCCCCCAGGGACCGCCACTGGGTAAAATATTTATTTTTGTTCTTTTATCTCACTATTAAGGTACAAAAGCGCAAAATGAATTTACGCTTTTGGTATATCGAAAAAATCGACGATTTGCGCTTTTGGGTTTCACGGAAATATACTATGAATACTGAATACCTTTAATATTAACCGTTAAATTGATCAAGTTTGTTCGACATTTTATTTATTAATTAAAAATTATTTTATCAAATTGGTTTATAAAATAAATGCATTCCTATACGCGTATATCGGTATATCCACATTTTATGTGTATAATTCTATAAGTATACGCATTTAAGAAAATCAAAGTTGGTATACGCCGTATACCCGCGTATTCGCTCCACTACACCACTGCTTTTGGATCCATTTTGGCTTTTTTTTTATCAATTGAATTGTCTCTTTTATAATATGGATTATTTTTTTCATTGACTAGAACACTAACTATATTAGATCTAGGTATTTCAAACATTGAATCTAACAAAATGCATTCCAAAATTGCTCGTAAGCCTCGAGCACCTGTTTTTTTTTCTAGAGCTTGTGAGGCAATTGATCTAAGTGCTTCATCAGTAAATGTTAATTCAACTTTATCTAAGCTGAATTGTAATTTAAATTGATTGACTACACTGTTTTCTGGTTCAGTAAGTATTCGTGTAAGCAAGTTTATATTTAATGATTGGAGTGGAACCAAAATTGGAAACCTTCCTAAAAACTCTGGTATCATTCCAAATTGAATTAAATCTCTAGGTTCAATTTTTTTTAACAACTCATCTCGTTTAACATTTTCCTTTTCATTATCAGTGTATGAAGCTGTTGTATCAACAAAATCGGCTTTAGTAGCATCTCTTCTACTTACCCCTGATTTAAAAATTTTTGCTTCAAATCCTATACTAATTTGGTCTGTCCTTTGACTTATAAGTCTATCAAGACCAATAAATGCACCAGAAGCAACAAACAAGATATTAGTAGTATCAATTTGTACTGCTTCATTTCTAAATTTTCTGGTATTTTTTCCTGGTACATTAATAACAGTACCTTCTAACATTTTCAACATTTCTTGTTGGACTCCTTTCCCTCCAACATCCCTCAATCGATAAATATTAGGTAAAGCGCTAATTTTATCAATTTCATCCAAAAAAACAATTCCAGTTTGAGCTTTATCAACATTATTATTAGCAGCTTGTAAGAGTTTCCTAATTATACTGTTAATATCATCTCCCACATAACCCGTTTGTGTCAAATTGGAACAATCACAAATTGCAAATGAAACATCTAATTGCTTAGCTATTGTTTGAGCCAGTAATGTTTTTCCACATCCTGTAGGCCCCAATAATATTATGTTACTCTTTTCTAATAATGTTTTTTCAAATTTCGAAGCAACTTTAATTTCTTCTTGACTATTTTTTATACTATTCGTTTGTAGGATTCTGGATAGACGCTCGTTAACAAAACGCTCTATTGAATTTGGTAAATTATCAAACAACTGTTCGATTAAATCATTCTTCTGAGGTGCTGTAATATGAATAATACGTTTACAATGATTATAAGCTGCCACAGCTAACACTTTCTTAGCTAGATCTTGACCAATTACATACTTATTAAGGTTAACAACAATTTCTTTTGGAGTCGGTGGCGGTGGTTTGAATTTATTTTTTTCAGCAGAAATCACTTTAAATATATAATCACATCGTTGACATATCAAAAATCGATTTGAAATTAAAAAAAACGCTAAATTAACATTTTGGCACTTTGAACAAAGTATCCTTGTTTGACCTGCATTATTACCTTTTTGTCTTGTCCCAAAGTTTTCTACATTCCAATAACTAAGCAACGTTTGGAAATTATTTTGGTGAACAATGTCTTTTATGATATGGTTATTAGACAAAACACTGAAGTTTCTTGATAAATTTAAATAACTATTGTCCAGTTTGGATCGTGTAAATATTTTCATACAAAAGTATTTTAATCTGGTCGCCATTTCCAGAGCTTTTAAAAACTTCTGCTATAGAACAAAAATATAATAGGTACGATCATAAACAAGTATAATAAAGCCAACCGATGGGACAGAGTTTATTAAAAATAAACAAATATTATATTAGAATAAGTATGGTAACCAGATTCTGAACTCAGGCAGTCGAGCTCAAAACAATAAAACCGTAAATAAAATCATCTGATTGGTAGCCCTTGAAATGGGCGTAATGTATTATAATAATTAACATTATTCTACGTTTCATCATGTGTAGTAAACCTTAGGTATTTAGCCGTATTATATATAGCCCATCGGCCATCGTTCATACTTATTAGTAATTATTCATTATTGTTTATGGCCTTGAGGGTAATTCATAAATCATAATTTTTTAACTGCATATGATTTAATATAGATATTATAGGTATTATATTCACTATACTACCAATAATACTTGTACTAGTCCATCAAAATTATTGGTTATTTGGTAAGCACTATATATTAAGTAGTTAGAGATAAAGAATATTATTAAGAAATTAATTTAAAAAAAATATATGTATATTTGTAATATAAATGTTCTTATAATATATTTATTAAACAACTAATATAAATTATAATACAAATATCTACTAATTATTATTAGAATACACTCCCTAATATTTAATATGATCAAGTTCTACAAATAGAAATTGATTACCTTTTTTTTTCCTTATGATATCGAGGACTGGAGGAGGAACCATGGTACCAGTACTTCTCAGTTCTCCTCCAGCCCCCATCGTTTATTGTCAAAACAAAAAGCACATGATAATTAACAACGGTGGGCCAGTCCCCCACTCACTGCTATTACAATCAAATGTAAATATATTATTAAAGAATAGTATACTATTAATAAATAGGAGCTCTGTTCTCCCTGCCTTGGCTACATATCAGTTCCTAGCTATGGTGGATTCCGTCCGTTCACAGCCTGTCGCACTCGTTCTTCTTCTTCCTTAACTCAAAGGATATTCTCCACCATGCCGTAAAACAACCTAAACCGCTCTTCGGCTTCTCTCAGGATTGCATCCTTTCCGTGAGCGTCCGCCAGCAGAAGCTCGAATGCCGGTCCGCAAATAATGTCCGGGACGTCGTCGGTGCTCGGTCGATGGCCAATCCTGGCGCTCAAGGGTTCACGAAAGTTGTCCCAGTGGGGGCAATCGAAGAAAATATGTTCGACGGTTTCTGATTCGCCCGAGCACTGCCAGCAACGCAGGCTGGCGGCCCTGTTTATGCGATGGAGGTACCATTCGAAGCAGCCGTGGCCCGTGAGTGACTGTGTCATGTGAAACGTCAGAGGCACCCACGGGACGGTCTTTTCCAGCCATCTTGACAGGTCAGGGATGACGCGGCGCGTCCAGGCCGCCTTCGGGGTAGCACGTCATCTTGCCTGCCAGGCGACGATCGTGTTTTTTTCTTTCCTCGTATTTCACGACCGCCTTGGGAGGCCGTTGTTCGTCGGGCTCCATCGCAGCACGCAGTCGGGATCTAATGCTCTGCCTCTCCAGTCCAAGCAGGTCAACGGGCGGCATGCAGGCCAAAACCAGGGCGGCCTCGCCCGACACGGTACGGTAGGACCGGATTACCCTCAAAGCGGCGGTCCTCTGCGGACGGATCAAGATCGTCCTAGTTCTGGCGACTATTCCTGGCAACGGCAGGGAACCAGACTGGAGTAGCGTACAGCAACTGACTTTCCACAACAGACGCGAGCAGCCTCCTCTTCCACTGAGCTGATCCACCTATGTTGGGCATGAGCCTGGATATCGCAGCAGCCGAGCGGGCCGCCTTCGCAGCGACGGTACTCGCGTGTGCAGCAAAGGTCAGACGCTTGTCCAGAATAACACCGAGGTACCTGATCTCATTTCGCAATGGAATCAGGTGACCGCCGACCGTCAAACGTGGTGGGACAAACGCCCGCCTCCGGGAAAGTACCACCGCCTCGCTTTTCTGATGAGCCAGCTCAAGGCCCCTGCTCCGCATCCAGTCATCTATGGCTGTCAATATAGGATTGATTGCCTCTTCGAGCTGCTGTCCGATCACGGCCGTACCCACAACCGCGAGGTCATCCGCAAAGCCGGCGAGTTGCACCCCGGGCGGCATTTCAGAAATTGATTACCTATCACCGGTGATTACTGGCAACTTGACACTCAGCACGACATTTGACTTAAACGTTTTTCACATACAATACAGCACAGAATTTTCGCATCTGCACATACTTAACATTTTATAGTAAATAATACTCAAAAAGTACACATCTTGGGCCTTGGTTTACCAATAGCACATATTTCACAAATAATTTTTAATGTATTTTTGATTTTTTTTTGGAAAAAATATGAATTATTCAATTATCATTTAAAGTAGGTATTGTATATTATTTTGATATTTCGTATTTATTACTCAACACTTTATCGATAACACATTATATTATTAATTTCGATTTTAAAATAACACGGTGGTATGGTCATTTATGATTCTATTATAACGCTTGCCATAATCGACAACGCACACAGGCTTTTCCAACAGGAGTAGTAGTGGAGGTAGGCAGTACCAAAAATACTGTTTATAAAAAGGTATTGAGATGAACAAAATATGTCAATATAAATATTGATGGGTTTTTATAACACCATAATGTATATAATAATGTTACAATAATAATAAGAAGTAAAAATAGTACCTAATAATAAGAATAATACTAATAATAGTAATAATAATTATAATAATACGTAAAACATTTTTTTCAATTACAGAAAGTTATAATTTTTTGGGTATATTTTATTTCAACATTTCGTCGATTAGAATTGTATCTTACAATTTGTCTTCAAAATATTAAAATAAAGTAATTTTTTGCTGACTTTTTATTGTTACAATACATGGGAAACCTAGGATAAACTTATCTATAAGCAGCTTGTAATAAATATAAAAACTGATAAAATAAAAGTTATAGTAGGTTACACAAAAAAACTGTATACAGGCGAAGCCGGGTTATTCAGCAATTCAGCTTATTCTCAATAAAATTCACACACAAAAAATGTATAAATTATATAAATTAATAATATGATTATTGCAATTCGCGCACACGTATAAATTAATATAAAGAAACAAAATAAATATAGCAAAATACAGCGATTCACGCTAAAAATAAAATATAATAATACAGAGATTTGCACTGATAAAAATGTAACAATAACGGTCTTTTGATTCTTTACATGACGACGTATGGCAGAAGACAAACGGATGGCCGTGTAAAACTTTGTACGCACCGGCGGAATTGACAGCGGCCAATAACGCACCAATACAATATAATCTGCATAGTTATTAATAATGTGTTATATAATTCACAAAATGTTGGTGAGTCGTCGGTCAATTTTTGGTGGGTCGCGAACAGTTTTTTAAATTATACAGATTCCAAGAAATGTATGTTAAATTAATATTAAATATATTATTAATAAAAGTACATTTGTAAAAATATATTGATTACAAACCTGTACTTTAAACCTATAAACATATTTTGTTAAAAAAATTGAAATAAACTATATTATATTATTATTATTATATTATTTTAAATTAATTTTTTTTTTTATTTAACTACTTTTTGAAAAGTGAAACCATATGGGTCACTAAAGATTTTTCAGAGGAAATTTGGGTCGCGGTACTAAAAAGATTGAGAACCGCTGGTGTAACTTTTAAATTAGTTTTTGTGAGACTAAATTTAGTCTTAAATTTAAACTTTAAAATCACATAAATACATACCACACAGAACACAGCAACTTCAATTATATTAATATCCATAATGAAATAAAAGAGATAGACAAATAAGTACCACACTATATTAGGTGTCAAGTGGATCACTGTTTTGGGTGTGTTAAATTTTCTATGAATAAGATTTATAACATTAGGATTAATTGTAGCTATATAATCATGTAAAGATGAACTCTTAGTGGACTTGGTGAATTGTTAACCATCAAGTGTTACAACTAATTTATAGATTTTCTCAAAACAGTATAGAGAAATTTTAAACCATTTTCAATATTAAAAAGCTGAAATCTACTACTTTTGGTTTATTATCAATTATAGTATCTACATTATAAACAATAATAGAATTAGTGGCATTATAATAAATTTGTCATAAATAAAACAAAACAATGTAATATTAATTATTTTATTATAATTTATAATACTTTTAAAAATGTTTTAAAATACACATAATGCATTAATAACTAATAAGCATTTGATTATTATTAACAACTAACGCTATCCCTCCCTTTGAATTTTCGACTGCGGGCATCCTTAGCTTTGAACTGATAAAACATGCACGAAATAATAATTATTATTATTAAATACCTAAATAAACACTGGTATTCCAGTATCCAGCCGACGATAATATACAATGCTTTGATGACGTAAGAATACGTTGATTGGAGAGGCACCGTTTAACTTCGCCTCCGAGTTTGAATTTGTGTACATAAATTACACACACATGCGTATGTGTGCGACTGTAAATAAATAGAATTGCGCTTGCGCATCAATTTTCAAGAGGCTCGTTTTTCATCGCCTCTTTGTACTATATATAAATATGATATTGTGATAAGCCCGTAGCCACAGCTGTGGTACGTTCAACAGACAACAATCAAGTCATATTCAGAAACTATTAAGTAATAACAGACAACAGAAGATATTGTACTATTTGTACTGTTGTCAGTTGTCACAGCGCCCAATGAAACCGTTCTAAAAGTTCAATATTAGTTTATAATTCGGTCTTGTTCGAATCGTCGTTTGTGTTGGTTAGTTTAAATTCATTAACACGTGCCACTGTGCTTTTTATTCATCGTTTACGCTAGTTACCGAAAAATTTTATCTATCAGAAATCAGAATTATGAATCCAGTAACAGATGTGGTTGTCATATTATTGGAAACGCCGTTTCAATGTTGGAAGTCTGGTTGTAAAAATGATTTACTAAAAGTAGGTAGACCTATTCCGATTTTGTCAGTTTTGACTCCTGACAAAAGACAAAATAAGGTATTCTGTAGGTCATTTAATCCAAATTTATATCAAAAACACTCTTGGTTATGTGGAAGTCATTACATACAAAAATTGTTTTGTTGGCCGTGTTTGTTAATAGGTCAAATTAAGTCTGTTTGGAATACTGTTGGTTATTGTGATTTAAAAAATTTATCTAGAAGTATACAAATACATCAATCTTCAAAAGAACATATTTATAATCATTTAAAACTAAAAAACTTAGAAAAAAATAGTTTTACTTTAGTAGATAGTATTAATGAGAATAGTAATTTGTTAAAGAAAAATTATAATGAAAACGTGAGATTGAATCGTTTATTTATGGAGCACTTAATCGATTTAGTTTTATTTTGGGGAAAACAAGATTTGGCATTTCACAATCATGATGAGAACAGCGGTTCATTAAATAAAGGGAATTTTAAAGAGTTGTTTGATATGCATATTAATAGATGTTCTCAAGAAATACAAAATCATTATAAAAGTATAAAAAACACATTTCTAGATTTATCCAAATCCATTCAAAATGATTTAACTTTGTGTATTTCTGAATTTTTAATAAACCAAATAAAAAATGAAATTAAACAATGTAAATTTTATTCTATTCAAATTGACGATATTACAAATAAAAAAACACAATGTTCAATTATAATTAAATATGTTACAGATAAATCTGAATTAGTTGAACGTTTCTTTGGTTTTCATAATTTTAGTGAAGACTGCACAGCTCAAGGTTTATTTGATTTGGTTTATTCTATTTTACATGAGTTTGATCTAGAAAATAAATTGGTTGGCCAATGTTATGATGGGGCATGTGTAATGTCTGAGCATTTAACAGATATACAGGCTAGAGTTAAGGAATTTGCACCTAATGCTTTATTTACATACTGTCTAGCTCATAGATTAAATTCGATATTGCAACATAGTTGTAGTATAAATGCTAAATGTCGTATATTTTTTGCTAATCTAACTGGTATCGCTACTTATTTTTACAATTCCACTTCACATACTGAAGTTGTAGATAATATTGTAGGGAAACAAGTTCCTCAATTTATTCAAACTAGATGGTCCTTAAAATCAAACATTTTGTATACTATAGTTAATGAGTGGTCTAGATTTATAAATGTTTTTGATTTTATTATCAGTAATCCTAAATCATCGCCTAAATCTATATGTGGTGCTACAGGTCATTTAAAAAATTTAAAAACATTTGAATTTGCTTTTTTAGCCCTGATATTTAGTAATATATTTATATTAACCGATAATTTATTTAATATACTTCAAAATAAATCATTTGATGTAGAATTCTGCTTAAGAAAAATAAATAAAACATGTAATCTTATAAATAAAAAAAAAAATGAGTCTACATTTTTAAAATTATTTAATCAAGCAATTACTCTTACAAAACCCCCAAAAGCTACTAGAAATGAATCTAACAGTCAATCAAATTATAAAATATTATTTTATGAAATAATTGATAATATTCTAATACAATTAAATACTAGATTTCAGTATACAAATAAATTAATTTTTTTACAGTTAGCTGATGTAACTAAATTTAAAGAATATTCTTGTAAATTTCCAGAAAATGCTTTAAATAATTTGAAATTAACTTATTCTAATATATTTCACGATACAAATAAATTAAAAGTTGAATTAGAAGTTTTGTATAGCGATGTAAAATATCAAAATCTATTACACATTTATGACATGGTTAAAATTATTGAACAAGACGCATTGAAAGATATTTTACCTGAAGCTTATAAATTATTTATACTTATTTTAACCATACCATCAACTAATGTATCAAATGAAAGTAGTTTTTCTTGCCTTAAAAGAATCAAGACCTATTTTCGAAATAGTAATTCACAACTTTGTTTAAATTCTCTTGAAATGTTATCAATTGAAAAGTCTTTGATTCATGAACTTCAAGAAATTGAATCATTTTATGATAATATTATTAACATATATGCTAGTCAAAAAGATAGAATTATAAATTTAACATACAAAACATAATTTAATTTAGTTTTATTATTTAATATTTTCAAAACTAAGCCTAATGAAAATGACTTTTTTGGTACCACCAAATTTTAGTAAAATATGTAAAATAAATAGTAGTACTTAAATAATAACAAAAATGAAAATAATATTTATAAAAAATTTCAAGTTAAACAATCAAGTCATACATGTTATTTTTTATTACATTTTTAAATTAGATTTAAAAAAACCCTTTCTGCAGACATATTATCTGGCAGTTTGTTACATTTTAGTAAATTAGTTATAGTTGTAAAGAAAAATCATCTTTCAACAGGACCTGGTAGTAGTGTATTATAACTAAAAAATATTTCTATGATTGGTCGATATTGCTACTTTATAGCTTATAAAATACCTATATATATATATATATATGAAAAAATCACTTTTTTATGTTTAGATAATAGTTTAATAGATATTATAAGGTTAAAAATACTTTATATATATATATATATATATATATCACATGTCCTCAACTATCTATTTATTTTTGTATGTAATATAGAACTTAAGCTCAATATTATGTTTGAAAACTATTTGAATACATTTTTATTCAAACAATAATTGTATAAAAATTTGTCCAACTCTGCTGTACAGTAGGTTGGCTTCATTTTCTCAGAGAATATTATATATTTATTATTTTATTCTATTTTAATGATACTATTATATACTTTATATAGTATTACAAATAAATAATGGTTATAAACTGTTAAACTAATTTAATAGTGTAAATATGTATAAATACATAATATCTTAAAATAAATTATTTTTAACGTTATAAGTCCATAATATATGTAAAAGTTAAGTTCACGCAAATAATGTGTATGAATTATGACCAAATAATGAATATTGTTATTCATAATTTGAATAATATGTAATTTCATCCAAATTTGAATCTAAAATGTCTATAAAAATAAAAAGTATGCTTTTAATTCTTTTAGAGTTTTGGTTTCAGTATAGTGATTATGTTTAAAGAATATTGTATTATAATTTCAAGTGTTTGTTAAAAAAATTGCATATTTTTTAAATTTTCGACTGTTAATTTGTGATTTTGGTGAATTTTGTCGAAATTTTAATTTAAAATGTTTTTAAAAATGAATAGTGACTATATATTTTAAATATTTTTACATATTTATAAATCAACTTATGTGGAATATTTTTTTTTTTTATGGTTGAGAAAATATAACAAAATTCTATACTTATTAAACGATTATGAAAATATGTTGTGATATTTTTTAATTTGTAAATAAGCAACTTGAGAGAACTTAATATTAAATTCTTAAACATTTAAGTTTTTAGACTCTGCAAAAAATTTTTATTGACATTTATAATGAAAATAATAATAACTGTGTTTATGATTAATAATACTGAAATCAAAATAATATCTTATCTCTATAAAATATCTAGATATTTATGTTTAATATTTGTAATTTTTATGTCATATATTATCTAATTATTTATTTATTAATATATTATAGTATATATAATATATAATATTCTAATAGGTTACCGGTCACAGCTTTACTCACCAAATTTAAATAGGTATATAATTAAAAATAATAATTTATGACAACAACTTCATTATAAAACTTCTCTATAATTTACATTTGATCTATTTCTATTTGGTACAAAATTACTTAACTTGTGTGCGTATTGACTCTTGAGCATGCCAAATAAAATTGCCCATGTGAAAAAATGCTAAAAATGAGAGCTAGAGGTTCTGGCTTATAAGTGCTTACTTATCAATATATTTAGAAGGTATACAATGTACACTTAAAATTTTGTTTTTTGCTAATTTCAAACCCTCAAAATCAAAATTAAAAAAAAATCGTTTATTAGTGCACGGTGAAATTATAATTTTAGTCTACTCTCAAAATTTCAAATCTATAGCTCTAATAGGTTTGGCTCCGCGTTGATTATGAATCAGTCACTCGCTAATTAATTTTTATTATAATATATAATTTATACAAAAAATATGATTGCGTATAATATATTTATCATTATATGTAGACATATTTACTTATGAATTTAATAGTTTTATATTAATTTTAAATTATAGTTATGTTGAAAAGACAACTCGATAGTAATACATTCTCAGATTTTTTCGTTCAAAACTTTCCGTCTTATTCTCTTATCAAGTATCTGAAGTTTATTTTATCATTTTTCGGACAACTACAACTTTACTGCTGATTAATCTTATTGTCGTCTGTTATCATGTGTTAGTAATCTAGTTATCTGTACTAAATTGTAAATAATTATGTTGACTTTTCTATGGAGATAAACGAGACGACCGCACGCGCAAATGGGCGTTGGTCCACTATGCGCACGCGTATTTTCTTATTAAATTGTTTTCTTATCAAAAAAGCGTATTCGTCGAGATTGATTGATAAACAAATATTCGGCCCGCAAAACGTCTCAGATCCCTTTCGACCCAGTCCAGGGTCGTGTTCTTTCGGTTTATACATTTTGCCGCTTTTGGAATTATCGCAGTACCATACGGACAGCGCAAATTGTTTTTTTTGATATCAAAAGTGCACGGTATCGACGTTAGTAAATCTACTTTTAACAGTTGAACTCTGCTGCTGAACCGGTTATCACGATTTCCGAATTCCAAACAACACTTTTCGTTGATGGCTATGACTCTAGGAAAGGATACCATGGGGTAAGTGTTTAAGTTTATATATTTATTTGTTTTATAATATTTGTTTGTGTATCATTGTTTTTTATGGAATCGAAATTTGTACTATAGAGAGCAACCAATATTTACATGCAAGGCCCATGTTTTCCACATAGACCCCAAGACAAAAAAATCATGGATATCGGCATCTACAGTAGCTGTCAATGTTTCATTCTTTTTTGACTCTCATCGAGGATTGTATCGTATCATTAGTGTTGAAGGAAGCAAAGTATGTATTTATGTATTTACACATTTAATAGCAAATCATTATTGGCATATTTCTAATGTTGACATATTTTAGGCTGTCATAAACAGTACAATAACTCCAAATATGTCCTTCACCAAAACATCACAAAAGTTTGGTCAATGGACCGATAATAGAGCCAATACTGTATATGGTCTGGGGTTTTCTTCTGAACAAGAACTGAATAAAGTATATATTTAAAAAAAAAAGTCAATTTAAGATATCTAAATGTTTTTGTCTTCTTTGTCGATTATAAATAATAAATATCAACTTCACATGTTATTAGTTTATACACAAGTTTGAAGAAGTAAAAGAAAAAACAAGACAATCAGCAGTAAGTGGACCACAGCAGGTTCAACAAGCATTTATGAGTTCAACAACACCAATTACAAGTGCTAATGCTAGTCCTGTAACTACACGTATTAGTCAGTCATCTGATGGTCAAAGTATTATTGAACCTCCTAACATGACACCCACTGATCCAAATACTACTCCAGAAGATACTAATTCCACTGAACAAATGATTAACCAGATGTCTAAAATTATGGTTACTAATGCTAATCACGTAATAAATATTAATACTAAACATTTTATAAAATTATTTTATACCATATAATTTATATTTTATACCTAGGCTGCAGAAAGTCCAAAACATCAAGGAAGTAATGATGGACGTATGAGTGGTGGAAATTCAATGTTACCTGAATCTCAATTGAAATATGAAAATGAAAGATTAAAATTAGCTTTAACTCATAGGTAATATTACTATTATTAATTTAAAATTTAAAAAAGTAATTTTTTTTTCAATATTCATTATGTTCCACTTTTTATTGAACAGTTCAGCAAATGCAAAAAAATGGGAAATTGAACTTCAGACACTTAAGAACAATAATTTAAGATTAACCAATGCTTTGCAAGAGAGCACAGCAAATGTAGACGAGTGGAAACGTCAGTTACAATCATATAAAGAGGAAAATCAACGATTGAAAACTAGATACCTTGACGCTGAAGTAGCCAAAGGTATATTAGCTTATAATTGATGCTGAAAAATTAATATTAATAATATTTTGTAAGTCTAATAATATTTTACTAATTATCCATAGGAGGATCAGAAGTTGCTTCAGAATTAAGAAATGAGTTAACTAGTTTACGCTTGAAAGTTGAAAACCTTGATGGCGAGTTGAAGAGTAAAAATGAAGAAATCCAAAAGATGACTACAAATAGAATGCCACTTGAAGAAAAATGCAAAGTAATAAAAAATTAAACTGCACATAGTAATGAAAAAAAGAAAATGTGATTATTAAATTCTATAATTTTGTATCTTTTTAGGTTCTTAGTCAAGAAAATGCAGAACTTCAAGCTGCGGTTAGTCTAGCCCAAGCACAATTGGAAACAGCTTTAGCAGCACAAGAATCACAACGACGTGTTATAGATACACTTAACAATAGCCTATTTGTACGCATACAAGAATTGGCTGCAATACACAGAGAAATGACAACTGCTATTCAAACCTAAGGTATAATGATTTGTAAATCAAATAACAATTGGTTGTAGAAAGCACTATTTAAAATTTTATTCATTTTTTAACAAACATAATTCTATCGTTTTTTTATTTATATTATTTTATTCATAACAAATTAAGAAAATCATTGAAAAATATTAAGTTTAAGAAAAAGGCAAGTGTATCTAGTTTACAAATGTACATAATATCTTTTGCCAATTTTGCATATTTATAAGAATTCAGTTTTTAGTTTCTTCTATACTTATGATTTGTGATTGACCTAAAATTTAGAGATAAATTATATATAATTTTGTATTGTTTTAAAATAAATTTATGAAACTAGTATTCTACAAAGTAAATCATTAAATGCCATTAATTAATGTTTGGAAGTTATAGGGGTTAAAATTGACTAGTACACAAGTATGTTAAGTATGCAAAATTTGGTGTTGAAAATTGAAAAAAAAATTTTTATTAATTAATAGTATATTAGTTTTGCATACTAAAAATGTCTTCAATATTAATGAATGTTTTCTTAATAATAAATTAAAAACAAACCTGACGTTTTAACAAGAATATAGCATTATCAAACATTTTTGTAATATTAAAAAAATTCACTTTTTGTTAGCTGAAATAAATCTTTATAAAAAAAAAAATATATATTAATACGCATAAAAATGAAGAAATATACATTTAAAATGTTTGCTTTTAATGTTGTACATGATGGATTTCTTTCTTGGTCTACTTTAATATGAAGTTGTAAACAAAAATATATAATTCCTCCAACTTCTAATCCCTAGATTAACTTCCTCAAATTATGCAGTTTAATAAAATTCATTCGCATGTCACATTTCTCCAAAATAAACTTGTTTAATTAATTCATTTTATTTGATACCTCGATTATTAAAGAAGTATCAATTTTAATATTTTATCGTTACATAAAAGTTTTTTTTTTTTTTATGTAAACCTAAAATTAAAGATGTTTATGCGCCTATTTAATTGATTTATAATAATTTAACTAAAAAATAGAAATTTGTTCAAATTATTGTAAGGGTTTGACTTTCTTAAATTTAAATTATCACTAAATACTTAAAAATTAAATATAAATATTATTTTATAGATCTAAAAATGTATCGAGTATCGAATAAAAGGAGAATCAATTTTTCGATATCGCTCATCTCTAGTTCCTTTGCCACTATAGCATTAAAAATAATTTTAGATTCACAAGAAAAATATCGTAACATTTATTGTGCTTATCAAACATTTTTATGTGCAATTTACTTATTAAGATTTAAAAGCCTATCAACTTACTCGGCTTACATTTTAAAAGTATTACAAATGTTATTTTATTTATTTTTAAAATTTATCATTAAAATTATTAGATTATTTTTAAAAACTTAATTATTTCCTCTCCACATTAAAAATGTACCATCGGTCTTTTTTTATTAATTGTTTGTTTTTGTAGTTAAAAAATAATAATTTTTTATTTATAATAAAAATTTTGATTAAAGAAATATTGGTTGCTTACTGCTATATAATAAATGTGATATTTTATTGTTTTTATAATTATTTTGATTTTATTTTTTGTGTAAACTTATAATTATTAAAAATATTTTATGTTAACTTAAATATGATAAATATATTATTATTATTTTTTTTTTTTAACTTTATATACTTATTTTCACAATCTGTTCACATTTTGAATAATAAGTGATAAAAAATTTTATGGCGTGAGTAACAGAACAAAGAAACTTTCCAACAAAAGCACATAACAGTAGATAAATATTGAAATTGATTTTCTTTAAAGGCAAATACTACTTTTCTAATTTATTATATTTTTACCTACATAATTTTTTTTTAAAACCTTTGCTGTTGTTTACTTATTAATTATATTATTAGATTTCAAGTTAAATTACAGTAACATAAGTTGTAGTTATAAATATTTTTTACACTACTACATATTTTTAGTTTTTTTTGACTGAATTTATTTATTTTTTTTATTTTATTGTATACACATGTAAAATAAATATTTTATTTATTTTATAATTAGCATCGATTTTGATATAAATTATTAATTTTAAACATTTGGCTTCCTTGTGGAATATTTTAGCATATTAAATTGAATAGTTTCAATTGTTTTACAGTAGAATATTACTAAATTTAATAATTATTTATTTATTTAAAATTAAATGTGATAAATTATATTGTGTTTACAATTTATCATAAATATATGTAATTAGTAAAAAATGATATGAATCATAACAGATGTAACAATAAGTCTTTAGAAAATTGTAATACACATAGGTAAATGTATTATTTGTATATTTAATTTTTTTTAATAATGTTGCATTCAAGTATGTTTTATTGTGTATACTTTGATTATAGTGTTTATTTATAAAAAAAAATGATCAAAATATATTTGAACAAAATATTTATTTTTTATTATGACTCATAAAAGGCTGACAAGTTTGATCTGACATGTGAATTTATAAAAATAAAAATTCAACTTGTGATAAACATGATGTAGAGTTGTACGAAGCCAAAAGTTATTATTGAATAGTAAAACAATTATTTTTTTCCAATCTATGAGGTATTATTTTATTTTACTCATTGTATTTTTATTTTTATCTGTTAGATTCAACTTTCCAAAATGTTTTATGTTTATATTTTAAGAAAATATTTAAGATATATAACACATTTATTAAGTCTTTATGTCATCAAGCTTTTTGTTAATATTTTATTTTATACATTTAATATATTTATTATATTCCTAATTAATTATGTAATCATAACTGATTAATTCTAATTAATTTTAAGTCTAATTATATTATACAATTGTACCACAGATCATAACATTTTAGTTACATGATTTGAAATTAAATTTAATCTTATATTTATTTAAATTTGTATTTTATCTAATAAGCATGTTGCATAATTATTATGTCAATGAGTCAAATAAATATAATTAAGCCTATTTAAAAAATGTGTGTAGTATATTACATTATTTTTTCATCATAATATTGACATTAAGTAGCTAAAACATAATTTTTAACTATTGGTAATAAAAATATATTTAAAAATATTTTGGCTTTTATGAATACAAAAAAAGAATATTCCATTGGTTTATTTATATTCAAGTATTAGTAGTATTAAATTGTTGTAAAATTCCTGTGGCTTTTCTATATATAGTTATATGATCCAAGTACTGTTGAATGGTGTCCAATGGTTGAAAAATATCATTCATACGATTCTGAAAAATTCATCGTATAATTACATATTTAATAACTAATAATTAAAAAAAAATATTTTTTTAACTGATTAATTTAAATTCTAAGATGTGTTTATTTTAAAATATATAAACATCAAATTATATTAATTATATTGTAAGTGTTTTAATCTGTTGAACTATTTTTTAAATTTGGTAGTTAAAACAAAATCAAATTATATAGTTCATAAGTCTAGATTTTCCAATATTTATACAATTAATAAAACTAATAACTAGCATTCAACATTTTTATAGCCTGTAGATATAAATTATGAAATATACAGATTTTATAACTGGTTTTTATTAATGAAAATGTAGCATTCATTTAAGCCCCTAACTTCATACAGGGGTAACAATGTAACATATATATTCTTGTGTAGTTTCTGATCGTAAATACTTAATAACTTATAGATAAAGCAAAATAATAATCACTCTATTCATTCAGAAAGTAAAAAGTATACATAATAGATTATTTTAAATTACTAATTAAGTACAAATTATAAATTGTATTGTATAAAATTTAATGCTATATCTCCTAAATTGAGTTTTTACTAAAAGGAACCTAAAACAACCTAATTTAATGAACAAAAATGTTTTTAAAAAAAATCAAATTTGTATATAAATTATTATTTTATAGGTTAATAATATTTTATTTACAACAAATGTATGATACTTTAAAAATATGAAGTATTTTACTTACTTGAAAATAATGAGGAGGAATATTTGACACACAAGATCCTAAAAATCCTTGAAGAAATTCTCGTAACATATCCCAACATAAACCAAACACAACACAAGGCCTATATTCTGCCTAAAATAAAAATTAAGCACTATTTAAACTAACACAAATATTATTACACATCTAACCATCTAAAAATTAATTCTAGGTCTTATATTTTATCATAATTATATGAATAGATAGAATATCTATCTATTAACTATAACAAAACCGAATAAAACACTGAGTTTATTGATACAAATGTATTTACTATATTGCATAGAATTTAATCATTTATTATTATAGTTTAAGAGACCAATTATATTATTTATTACCTCCACAATAATGCCTTTAACATTGTGATTAATATTTATTGCTCCAATTTTAATAACAAAATCATTTAGCTCAAATCTTGGACCTCTAATTTCAACTTTAGATTTTTTAGAGGTATACACAGACGACATCTTCAACAAAAGCAAATCAAATAATGCATCTGCGACAACAGGCACAGTTTTTCCAGTACCATTATCAAGAATCGCAAACACTGATGCTGGCTGTTCTGAATTATGAAATACATGTAATGTTCGTTGGACACCTAGACATAAGTTTTGTTATATTTATTTTTACCAAAATGAATATTATTTTGTTATAACTCACCTAATTGAGGTATAGAGGCGTATGTCTCACAGTCAACAAGAAATGTACCACATTGTTTGGCACCAAGTGCATTCACTCTTTTCGTAAGAAATTCAATTATTTGAGCACCTGTACGATTTTCTTTCATCGGAAACTGTTGTATACTACAAATATTCAAAATAAACAGATAAAAACACATGCTAACAGTTATTTTTAAATTCAAAAAAACAAAATTATTAAAACCAAAGATACTAACATTGTAACGCCCATGTTAAGGTTTGAAAACTATATACTTCAAGTGAAAAAAAAATATATCACATGATACAATAATAAAACTAAAACACACAATTAAAATGTTAATATTTGATATAAAAAAATTGTACAAATATTGTTTACCTAAATAATAATTTCTATTTGGGTATTTTTTAGTATTAGTTATTACTTATTACAACACAGAAGTTATTTTGCTTTTTTTAACAATTTAAGTTGTTACTTATCGTTGAAGTCACTTGTTAGGGAACAGTAAGCACTTAATAATTTCAAATTTTAATGACGACTTTTAGAAATATGTCGACTACTTATTTGTGGCGTTTGTGCATACTCTATATCCTATACATATAAATTGATCTACCAACAAACAAAACAGACAACAGTATTTTGTAATTGTATGATAATATTCAAAAGTTTGTTGAGCATTTTTATCAATTTAATGATAATAAATTTGTTTTACAGCGCCATCTATAAGTTCACGGTTATTTGTTGTCGGTTCAATAATAATCCAGATAGCTCACCACTTACCAAATTTCCCCAGGTATTACCTCTAATCATATACCTGATACAAAGTATTAAATATTAAGTCCATGCCGCTTACAAAGTATAACATTATACAACATGTACCTAATAGTTACAAAATTAATACAAATGTTAAATATTATTTCAAGGCATTTCAATCCTAAAATTACGATCTTGTGGTGTTTATTTATATAGGAACTTAATCAATGAACGGAACATTTTACCGGTTAAACCTGATGGACTAGCTGTATAAATGTATGTAGCTGTATAAAATTCAAAATCGGTTGGCACGGTACCAGCCATCTATGGACTTGCAGGTACACTAATGTTTAGTATTGTACATTTTATAGGTAAATTTGGAATAAATCTAGTTTAGCACCCCCTAAAAATTTCGATACTTTTTTTTGGAAGCCTATGTATTTTAGCGTTTTAAATGATGCCAAAAGTTTTTTTTCGGAAATCATTTGGTTTTGAGTAATCCAAAAAAAAAATATATGCTTAATGTCAAATATATTTTCAAAGGAAATTAGGGGCCAGCGTTGCCATTTGCTCGCTGCGCTCGCTTGGACATTCTAAACGTAAATATTCCTCGATTTGCTATGCAACACCACCTAAGGTAGGCCACAGCCCCCCACAGGGTTAAAAATGATGCCCATAATTTTGCTAACAATAGCCAAAAATTTAGCCAGTTACTCGATAACGACATAAAATATAAAAATTATGTAGTTTAATGTTTTAAAAATAAATAGTGCCCAACATTTTTATTACCTATCTACGAGAATATATGGTTTTAATATCGTAGTTAAAATCGATGATTTTATAAATTTTTCATAACAAAATATTTATAGTTTGTGAATTTTAGTGATTTTTTAAAAATTTTAACTTTAAATTCCTATAAAAAATGTTGTGTCTGTGTATTTTTAATACTTTCATTCAGATATAGGAACAACTTATATGCGATTTTGTATAAAGTTTTTAATCTTATTGAGCGAGCAAATAAGTTTTATTAACATTTAAAATAAAAAAAAATAAAAAAGTATACTTGATGAAGATTTCAAGTTTCCACGCGGTTATTTATTTTTAAATTATAACAAAATAATGAATTACCTAATTTTGTTAAAAACCGGAATAGCGTCAAATGTTCCTTCTTTCTTTAATTTTTTTCCATTTATTTAAATTCTTTTTTTATTTTTGATCTCTCGAAATACAAATTAGATTAAATTTTCTACTCGAAATTTATTAATTATTTAAAAACTATGTTTTAACTGGGTCATACAAAATATGCTTACTCCCATTGCTTATAAATATTTAGTTGCAGTACTGTAGATGATTTGCATCTGTAAACATTTCAAAAATTAAGCAATTATTTTGTTTATAATATTTGTTTAATAATTTAACTATGTTTTACTAATGTAAACAGGGACCTATACAGCTATACAAGAGGTGGGTCATATCTTTTCGAAATTTTTCAAATAATTTTAGAAACTATTGAAAAAATTCTAACTATAACATTTTAAATGATTATCTGCATATATAAAAATTAAAATATTCAATTTGAAATTAAAACATAATGTTTTATAAACAATGTTGTAGCAAAAAATAATTTTTTGGTTATATTTAAAAGTATTTTGAATAATTTTTATAATATTTAAATTCAGACTCAATAGATAATAAATATTAAAATAAGCGAGTAGATTATTCCTCTTAAAATATATTTTTGTTTTGTTATTACTTTTAAGTTAACAAAAACGTAAATTTGTTTATGATATTATGCACTTATGTCATTATCAATATACATATTTTTGATGTATGGAGTTTTTCAAAATCTTTTTAAAATAAAAATATTTGTTTGTTAATCCTGTGAAGTTATGTTACGTATATCATAACAATTTAAGCGTATTTTTTCAAATGATGTCACAGAAATATTAAATAGTTACATAAATTTATACATATACAACGTATAAAAATATCGGGATATTTTGATACGTTCTCTCTCAGTCTTCAATCCTTAGATTGGTTTGCTGCAGTTCTTCATGCATCCCTATCTTTAATCAATTCCTTTAGTTCCTTATAAATATTATTCTCCATGTCAGTTATGATTTGCTTCATGTACTCCATCCTTGGTCTTCCTCATCCTATATGGCCTTTAACGTCACCTTCTATGACAGTTTTCGATAGACTCTCATGGCATTGTAGATGTCCTATTTGATACGTTAACAGTTGATAAATTGTTTCACTAAGTATAAAATAGTCGTTTGTTTTAGAAAAACACATTACTAATTTTACAATAAGAAATGTTTTAAGCCAACAATTTGGTAAGAATAATTATAGAACTTACATTGTCTTTATACTTAATTACAAAAAATATAAAACGATTTAGCTATTGATTCTCCTGAGATTTAATAGTCATTGTTGATAGGAAATTTTTTCTCGATGTGGTAGTTTCTGGATAATATTTAATGATTCTTACAAACAAAAAAAATGTTTGACCTAGCTAATAGTTAACATTATGTGCTAACAATTATATCCCATAATTTAAGAATCATTTTTCAGGTAACTGAAAACTGTTTCTTAAATGTAACAGAGAAAACGGCATTTCAATCTATAGTTATATTTTTTTAGTATTCTTCTTAAACAGCCTACATTTAACAAAAGTTACACAATAAACTTCAGATGGATATAATACGAAATTTTCAACCTTTTATTTAATTATTTATACATTTGTTACTATAATGTATGTCATACTGTCAAGGTGTTGCATATAGCTGTATTATATACATCGATTTATATATAGTAGTCGTTCAGCAAAATATTTATTAAAAAACAAAACAATTAATGTCTCAAACTAATTTATTGCTACGTGTTTTACATATAATGTCATATCATCACTGAAAATTAAAATTCTATATTACAATTAACTCATGAATAAAATGTACTTTTTAGATTTTTTAAATTATGACAAATATATTAATATTATAATATTATATTAATTAAATAATTAAAAAATATAAAATAGATTATTTATTTTTTTTGTATAAAAAAAAACTTAACTGATATATTATGATAAAAAAGTAAACTCTAAAAAACAACTAATAAATACACGTGTGCGTATTAATAATTAATATGACTCTAAATACAATATTGAATAAATTATAACAGAAAACTATAGGACAGAAGTGGGAAGTAAACGTGCGCACTCAATATTAACTAAATTATTATAATAAAGATTATTTTCATAATACAAAATATCTCATTGTTATAATATGTTGGTAGGCCATATTAGACAGTAAATGTATTTAAGACAACTTACAGTAGACAAAGAAATGTTATATTTTAAAACGTTATCAAGTTATCTATAATCGACAATCGATGAGTCCTAGAATTCTCATCACTCATACATATCAGTCATTTTCTTAATAAGTAGGTAACTATTAAACATAATTTCTACTGACTACATGTCTTATAATATATTAGTAATTTTTATTTTAAGAAAAAAATAAATTAAATAAAAATCAATAAAGATTCTATATTGTCCTAAAACTCGAAAAAGTCGGTGACATTTTTATTTTTTGCCTTCAAATTCAGATAAATCCATTAAACATTTTTGAGAAAATAGTACAAAGTAATTTGTGATGAGAATACTAGAATACGTTATTCATTTAAATTGTTTTTTATGAACAAACCAAATATAATCATAGTTTTAGAGCTATCTGTGAACTCTCAATATTATACAAAATGTGATTAATTGCAAATATACTCTTCTTTTTTATACCTACAAATTTCGCAAGCAACATTACAACACCAAATGAATTTACATTTACACTTCTCTTCTACGTCCCTTAATCTAATTTGAAATCCTCTATGACAACATAGATGTCTGCAGCCATCTAATCCTTGACATACACGATCGTAGGTACCCATTATGCTCAATCTATATTAAAATAATATTTAAATTATATAAACATATTAGCTGTACTTTTGTACGTTTAAAATTAAAACTACTCACGATTCATTACGTTCGCAATAATCTGGAGATGTATCTAAGTATACGAGTTCCGTTTTATTGGGTGTTTTTCTGTCTATTCTGATTGGTCGAAGTTTTTTAATTTTCTTTCTTTTCTTTTCACCAAGTCGTACATGTGAAGCACCTTCATATCTTACCATCAATGAATCCCCAATATCTCGAAACGATGAAAGTTTCATCCAACAAATACGTACACTACATGAACCTGACATACCATGACATTTGCATACCTTTTGCATACTAGAGCGAATAATCTAGAAAATTAAATAAAGTCTTGATAATTAATAACTATAATATTAAAACTTTGAAAGGCAATAGTTTTTTCTGATTTAATAATTAATAATCCAGTTAAATTTATTTTCGTTTATGTCAAAGTATGTATTTATACTTAAATATTTACTCTTAAACTATGACAAACATAATAAATTTATAATTTAAATGTTTATGAAAAAAAACAAGTATTTTTTTTTAATAGACAATTTTGAAATTTGAGATTATAAACCTATCATACAATGATTTAAGTATGTGTGATGAAGCCATAAAGATTTTTATTAATCATAAGATTAATTAATAATTTTATTTTAATTATAAAGTTAGTAATTTAATGTTGAACATAATATTTTAAATTTAAATACAAAAAATATTAATTTAATTTGAATTAATATAAAACGTAGGTGTGAGTACCGTTCAACTATACATTAAGTTTCGAGTGTGTCACTATTGAGTATTGATATGTTAAATTTAAATTCAATGATATATCATTGTATACGAAAAATACTTCTAAGCGGAGACTGTCTGTCAACCTAACTAAATATACATTTCGTATTTTCGTCATGTTTTTAATATAGCTACTAAAATCATTTATTTTACTATTAGTACTTAGTATAGTTAGTATTACAGTAAGTTGAGAACATTTTTCCGAAAATATTGCGTTTATTATTGGTTTTTAATTATTATAATAATATATATTTATGCCATATTATAATAACTTATATGACTTAAAATTTAATAACATCTTCAACGTAAGACACTAAAAATAGATTTATAGTATAAATAAATAATAATTTCTTAAAAGAAATAAAAAATGTCATTGTGTTTAGTAAAATTCATAATAATATTATAATATACATAAAAATTTAAAGTTCCTACAAACATTTTTAAATTATAAAAAGATAATAAAATTATAATATCGTTATATTTATTGTTTAATTAATTAATTTTATCCAAATTTGAACTTCAAATGTATATAAAAAAAAAATTGTGCTTTTGTATTTCTAATATTTTTATTTAAATATGAGAAAAACATGATATGTGGAATTTTATTTTAAATTTTCAAGAATTTTTTATAAACAATTGTAAAAAAAAAAAATTAAAATTTTATCATACCTATAAATAACTAAAGAAAAATTAAAATATTTTTAAAATTGTATTATGTAATGAAAATGATAATATAAACAATTGGTGAAAATTTCAAGTATCTACTGTTATTTTTATGAAATATATCAAAATATAGAAAGTATTTTGAGGAGAAATTATTGTTTTATGGGTGAATATCTGATATTGTAAACATTTTATTTTCAAATGCTCATAAAAAAAATTGGTTCCCTAGTAGAACATGTTTTATATAAGTCAAAAAACTTATATAAAACATTATATTACATTTTCAAATCTTAGGCATAAGAACAACTTTTTTTAAATTTCCAACTACAAAATAATTTGAACATTTTTGATATTTTGTAAAAATTTTAATTTTAAAGACTCATAAAAAATTATGGTGACTAGATTTTCAATATTTTTTACTGTAAAATAAAAAGTTTACAAAAAATATTGTATTAAATTTTTAAGCATTTGCAAATAATTTTTAATCAACTCTTATAAAAAAAAAAAAATTAAAAAAATTGAAAACTTCTTATGCCTATAAATAGCTCAAATTGTCAAAATATCGTAATTATAAAATAATAATATTAAAATTTGGTGAAGCTTTTAAGAATCTTCTTTATTCGTTCTTGAGTTACACACAAAAAAATAAAAATAAAATCGATTTCGTAAAATATTGGATTTATGTAAAAAATCTCCATTTTCCTAAATTGTTATATATTTATTATTTTTTTTTTTTTGGTTTTTCCCAAATATAAAAAACAGTAATAGGAATTTTCTAATTTAATCTCATTTAAGCACAAACTATATTAAATTTTCTACTATAAACCACGTCCAATTTTGAAAATCAAAGCATTTTCAATTACTTATGTACACAACATACATACATCATAGTCTAATAATCACTTCGTTCATAATTTTAAATTATGAATCAACTTAGAATTTAACAATGAAATTATTATAATGTATAGGTAAGCAGACAAAAATTTTTAAAATTATTTATAAATTATATTATAATATCTGTAATATAAAATTAGTTTTCTAAAATTATTTTATACTATCTTAACGTAATAATTGATGTTTGTTCTGTAGAAATAGTATTTATTAATTTTTTTTACAATCTGTACATTTATTTTATGTATTAACGTACAATCAGTAAGTGTGATGACTGATGACATAAATTAAATTATTGACTAATAACATAATATACTCTTGTTGGTTAATAAGAATTGAGAAATCATTCGGAGCTATGCATAACCATCCGGCAATTGTAATAACAATATTCAGATAGTGAGTACTATTACTACTTACCTTGTTATGTATCATAACTATAATAGTATTAATAATATCACCAGGTACTTATATACTATTATATTGAAATATGTACTCGTATTTTATAAAACATTGAAATAATATAATATTTATATAAAAATTAACAACTAAATAATAAACCCCTACAGAAAAAAATTTAAAACGTATTTTTAAAAACTTCAATTTTTAAGTAAACAAATATTTTATAATTTCATTTACCCTTCGACCAGCTTCATTATTATGTACGTTCATTAGCCCTTGAACACTATCGATGTCTTCTATGGAATCAACAAAATCACGACTAAACTTTTCACCGAAACGTATATCCTATAAAAATAAAAGTTTAGTTTTCAATTCATCTATTTTTTTTTAGATAAGACTTGGTGTTGTAACCTCTGAACATCCTCCCCATTGCCAATTCTTTTTAGCTTGTTTTCTTTGAATTTTATTGTCACAACTACATTCGTTTAATTCACCTCTTGAACATGCTTTTGTAATCGCATATGCTACTCCGGCTGATGTTATAGCATTTACGTATGCTTTTTCTCTACTTTCTAAATATTTGTTATGGTAAAAATTAGCATTGTATGTTAAAATAATGTACTTATGAATTGTTGTTTAAATATATTCTTATGATTCATTTTAACTTACTATACGACAATACGTTGCCAAATACTGAAGTATTATTTGAATAAGTGGTACAATTCCACCTCTGTGTACTAAACTGATGTTGGCATTCCTCAATAGCCATTTTTGTTCCACTGCTCACAACCTACATGCAAAATATATAAAATAACTATTTTTCAAATTCTTTTTTTTTTGTGTAGAACACTTACTTACACTCATAATTTTTTCCCCGAGGTCACACAGTTGCTGTTGTCTACTTTTCAAAAATGGATATCGGTAACAATTTTCTTTATGGCTAAGCAATGGGTTAAACTCTCTTGGTGGATAATTTTGCAGTCCTAAATACCTATAAAATTATGTCAGAAAAATTTAAATAATCTTTGAAATACATAATATATCACGTATATTTATATTATTACTTTAAAGCTATATTTTTAAAGTCATATAGTTAAAATTCATTTTTAATAAATATGTATAAAATAAAAAAAATTAAGGTAACATTTTGTAGTAAACGATATACTATATATAAAATTAATATTTGTAGATTATAGCAAAATAATATAATCATAAACGAAAAACATAAAAAAAAACACGTTACGAAAATCAATAAATTCTCTTCAATCATAACGTAATTTTTAATTTATCTAAAAAGTAAAAACATTTTACCAATTTATATACCTATATATATTCACTGTTCACAATATATATGTATTAATTTATTTAGACCAACAGACCGTATAACTATAAATGTATTACACGTTTGGAATAAATCAGGTTTAGATTACAAATTACAATCAAAAGAAATTAAGTAAAACAACTTGTGTATACCTATATAGAAACTAGAAACGGTTACAACTTAAGCTTTATTATTATTTTATTCTACAGTATTTTTTCCTTGAATATTTAAACATAAAAAAAAAAATTGATCATATAACTAAATGGTATTTTTCCTTCTAATTCTATCGAATAACATTCGAAATAACTTATGGGTGTTATAATTACTGACAATAAATACTTTTATTTAGCCGCCGCTATTTAATTTAATACTTTTAAACAAAAAAAAAAAAAAAAACATCTAAACGCAGGGGGGCGTGATCTATCTGCGTCAAATTATTGAAGTAACCTAGTAATTATTAAGCCGAAACAGGGCCACTGAACTGGCGGCAAAAAATCACAAAGTGTAGGTATATAAAACATAACTGACAACTTTTCTATTGAAATTTTATTACATTTTTTTTATGCCCGAGGCAACTAATAAGATGATCTATTATAATATAGGTATATCATATACTATATCTGCAGTATTTAATATTTTTTGTGACGTATATTAGTTATAATTTATAAGATATGTATTATTCTACATTAATTAAGAACGACACTATACATATAATTTAATAACAATTTATGAATTAGGAACAATATGATGCATATATATTAAAAGTATAACTTATAATTAATATTTAATAAAACAGATATATAAATAATACATAGTCGTTCATAAAATAATAATTTTAGCTTTAGTTTAAAAAATAAAAATGCTTTTGTCAGCGCGTATATGTAATTATTTTGTAAGGAAATAATAAACAAGTTATTTTATTAATTATTCATGTGGAACATGATTATATAAATAAATTATAATATTACTTCCAAACGAAATGTGGATTGGTTGTTTGAAAAAATATATATTATATGCATATATTTGTGTATTAATATTTATTTAAAAAAATAATGATATTCGTGCTGAAAACGTGCACTTTTTCGCGTTCTTCTACGCATAATGTAGGTACCCTGCAGGTATTTTTTTTTTTCATTCTGTTGGATATATTTAAAAAGGGATAAACATATTAATTTGCCACTTATAAAAACTCAAGTTTGAATGACATAAGCCGTCTAATAAACCTTATACTAATTAGTCCCCTAAAATCAGTGAAATCACCCCAACGCTAGATTTCCAAGTACCTCTAGTAGCGTTCTTTCAACAAGGGTTATTATTCGTATATAACGCATGTACGTCCTTATTAGACCTGCATATTGTTATTCTAGAACAGGCACATATTGTTGTGTTATGGTTGCCTAGTAACCCCTTGAATTCAGAAGACAAGGCTCCGCCTTTTTGGTTTCCTTTATCTGTCAATCACCGGCCATTTTGGCCCCCCCGATGACATTCAACTGAGAAATAAAATCCAAAATTTGTAAATTTAACCTCATCTTTAAAGAATAGGTATAATTTATGACTCGTAAGTTTGGTATAGGTATTTAATACTAACATTAGCCTAGATAAATGAATGCATTTGTTTAGATAATAATTTGAATATACTTGCTTCATGAACTATTAATTATTTAATTATAAATATGCCTATGTATTTAATAGTAATCTAAAAAATGTAGTTTTTATTTTTTTTTAATAAAATTAAAATAAATAATACTATATGTATTTTGAATTATGAGAGTAAAATTCTGAATTACATAAGTTGTATGCTACGATGATTTTTACTATTATTTTTTTACTGTAAATACTTTTTTTGAGTAAATAAATATAAAAATAAATTTCTGGCTCCGATTAAAATTACAGAATCTAAAAGTTTTTCATGATGACACTAAAATATCGAAAATTTTTAAAATAAAAAGTAGTTTCTTTACGAAAGAAAACTTTCAGAAAATTTGGAAGAAATTATTTCATACTAATTTAATGTCAACAGTTTACAACACTCTCTATTCTGCACTAAAATTAAAAGGCCTGATACTTAGTGTCTGTAACTGACCCAAATATTCTGAATTGTTGTTATTTTATATTTAGAAAAATAAAATAAATTGTTATTAATCAAAAATCAACGTGAACATTAATTAAATTAGTCGTATCATATTATTATGGGTATCTTCAGAGGTAATTATTATAATTTATAAAATCGTACGTATAGGAGTTCGTTATTTAGTTCAAATAAAATTGCGTCCCAAATAGAAGTAGTAGTCCTAGTAGCGTTAGTGTATACATAAAACATTATAAAAAATAATAAAAACATATAGGTATTTAATATTTTTTTATGCCATTGTACTTGTCTAAATTCCTACGGTCAAATCATAATTCATCCATAATGCTCTCATTTTCATCAACATGCTCATAAAAAAAAAAAAAAAATTGGATGATGGTAATATAACATGACAGCTGGAAGGTAATATGAGAGTTTTCGAAACCTATTTAAGGCTCGCGGTACATGGGTTTTGTAGTTTCTTCCACCTTGCTTCACCCAAATTACATTGGTGTACATTGCATATTATATACCTACATATTATAGTACAGACAATTAACCGGATATCTGAGCAACTTATATTTTTTTAAGATTAGTACCATTTTTATTTTCCTAATTTATTTGAACACACACATGTAGTACATGAGAATATTAAATTATCAACATTAGAAAATGAATGTATAATATATAATATATTTGCAAAAGTTTTGTATAGAATGTTTAAGTAAAAAATCTTTAAAAATAAACGTCAAGATATATTATCTAGTACTGAAAAATATTATAATACAACACAGAATTTTTTAATAAAACAAGTTTTAAACATACTGAACTATTTATCCTAAAATATATGTTTATTACAGATAAATTATATTAATTATATAGTAACCTAAGAAAATATATAATATAATATATTCACGTACAAATGTTTAATTATTAATTTATATATATATGTATATATATATATGTATATATATATATATATATATGTATCTATAGTTACTATAAAAAATTATTCAATTCATTTGCATATTGTTTTCTAAGAGTTTTCTAATTGATAACAATAAATGGAATAAATCTATTTATATGTTAATTTAAAATAACAATTTTATAAACACGGTTATTTATTACCTAACAAATAAATCATAGTTGTAATTACAACTGATTTCAGTAATAAAGTATTATATTTAAGCAAAATATTATAATATTAAATACGAAAATAATACATATTAATTATTTGAATATTCATGTAAGTATTTATAAATATAACCTACTATTCCTATATTACATTAGAAAATAAATAAATTACATTAAAATTGCCTACTTATATTTTATATACGTATATTCTATGTTTTTTCATTATTAATTTGTATAAATATACAATAAAAATATTAACAAAATTTTCATATGACTTTATAATATAAGATATATGACGTATAATAAATTCGAGATGAACATATTAAATACATATTTTTTTTTTTTGTTAGTAATAGGTACATTATAATTATACTACTTATAAAAAAAAAATAATTGTAATGTTATAAATTATAAATATAATAATATTTATGAAACAATATTAAGTAATTTTTAAGTTCTAATTAAAGAATATTTTATTTGGAAATTGAAGTAATTCGAAATATAACGTACAACTTATTATTTAATTAAGCCTCCTTTAAACAATTTAAAACTGTACAAGATTTGTTAATTTTACCAGTAAAGATCTAAATCAGTTATATTCAAAATAAATATTGAAGAACGTAAAAGAATTCACTGTTTACTCGGATTCTATATCATAAACATGTGGCGGTGTTTGTGATCGTAAAAGAACATATACACACATTAAACAGAAGTCAATAATATAAAAGCCATACAAAACTTATAGTATATGTATAAGTAAATATGAAAACCGGAAATGTTTTTTTTTACGATTCCTTGATTAATATGAAACGTTTAATACTTACATGTGATACATTTTAAAGTTGAATTAAATTTTTCCTACCAAATATAAACTATAAAGAGCTGGGAATATACTTTTTCCCTATTCTTTTAATATCCCATGTAGCATTGTAGTCGTAAAACATTCATATCTGACCAATATCTGTGATTTTTTTATTAATTTTAACTTACAAGTTATAAGAATGACAGTTAATAGATAATAATTAAGTGTGACATAATACTACATAATAAAATATTGTCTAATACTTATAACTTTATTAGTTATTATTAAATTAACCGGGTTATATAATATTATAATGATGTTAATGATTAATTATTTCAAAAAAAAAAAGAAAAAACTATTAGAGTACAACATTACTATTCTCAAAAAGTATAAAATTATATTTTCTAGATTTTTCTTAATGAGTCTTATGAGTAATAAATTTTAATAGTAAAATTATTTAAAAATTTAATAAGTACTAATTCTTACAGTTTAGTTTAAAGTTTTCATATATTATATATCTTTATATACGTGTATTATTGGTTTAAAAGATCTAAAAAAAAAATTGATAGTATGACACTATTACTGATATTGTTTTTTCCAGCCAATTCAGTAGATTTATATTTATAAATATATGAGACATTGAATTAAATCCAGAGTTTTATTTTAACCAAATTCATAGTTTTATTTGTCTTTATTTTAATGATTAAACAAATTTACAATAATAATAATAATAATAATATTTATATATTCAATGTATATATTTCAATTATTTAAGATACTAAATTATATAGAAATAAGTAACAAATAAAAATTCTAATAATAGCAATTAAAAATGATTTTATGATTCGTTCTGTTAAGTATTATAGCTATAGATGTTCGTGAATAGTGCTTTATCTTTTACTTATTAGGAAATATAGAAAATGAGTAAAGTATCACAATTAAGGTTTGTCTTGTATTTATACAAGCCTTGAGGATGACAAGAAACATTTTTAGTTACGTTTCTGCATTACATTTATTCATAGTGCTTAGTAAATAAAGATTATTTATATATTTTCTAAATATTCTTGTTTTTTTTTCTTATTAGTCAAGTATCCTAGTTTTGGTACATATAAATATATAATTAATATTTGAAATGTATTAATTAAATATAATAACACATAATATACATCAAATCCAGGGGGTGGGGTAATGCTTGTTTCAGAACTTAATATCGACTATTATTTATTAATTATTCTGTACAATTTTTCATGTTGTATTTTGTAGTTAATTCAGTATTTATATAACTAGAAAGACGTCTTAAGTAAATGCCAAGACCACATTAAATACTTAGTATAGAGTTTGTAATATAGTATTCAGGATTAACTCGACAAAGATGTACCTACGTATTTTTAAGTCTTTATAAAAGGTTTATAATGGAAGGACTTTTTACAACCTTCATTAAAAGGTACTGAACAAAAGAAAAGCTACTCAGTAATGTTGATTTAAAGTTTCATTAAATATTTATCGACTTTAAGTATATATTAATTTTTCTTTATGTTTAGATCTTTGCTGTTCTGACGGTATAATAATAAAGTTCAGTGTAGGTATGTCTATAAATGTAATCAAAATGATTTAAAAGTACCTATATGTATCTATATATAAAACAATTCTTACAGTTTAAAACAATTTATATTTTTTTAGTATTTAAATTGCTAATAAAATATAAGTATGTTTATACAATTATGATCGAGGAAAACATTTATCTTTCATCGGCATATATTAAAGTAAAAGCATGTTTTTATAATATAGATTATAGGTATATTATACAAAATTTTTGTTGATCAAGTTGCCTATTTGCCAAAATGTATAAGTTCTCGACATGATTTATTTCCAAATTTATTGGTTTCTGCGTGAAACACGTTCGCATCGTAAACATTATATTGTGCTTGTGCAATAGATATGATCCCCACGCATATAATATATATATATTATTAATATGCGCGTGTGTTGTTTGAATGTGCTCGGTGGATGGCGGCATCTAGTGCGATAATGACTATTATTATTATTATTATTATTTTATTATTATTGATATATATATATATAGAATGTTGATGATATAAAATTTAAACGGCCGTGGCGGCGAGAGGCAGCACAAAAAAAGGGGACGACGGGGAAACTTAATTTCACCGGCAAAACTCTGGAAATCGTCTCATTTTATAGTTTTCGCAACCTATAAATTTTATATCCCCCCCTTCCTGACTCTCACTGCCGCCTCCGACATCGAACCCCGGAACGCGAAAAAAAAGAATACAAGACCGTGCAGCTGCATATTATGCGCGTTCGTACACTGCCACGAGACCCCCTCTCCACACCGCCACCACGACCGTTCGTATCTTTATTGAAAACAGAAAACGGCACCCCCAGAAAAATGCGTCCCTCTCACTCGTAAACGGCTTTTGTACTTTATGATCGACACATAAAAACGACTTTATTACCACTGGCCTCCCCTCTTTATCCCGAAACGCGCGCGGCACGAAACTTTCGTTTATAAACGGCAAATCCGTAAAAACCCCGCGTGACGTCCGGTGGCGGTAACTTGCCCGACTGCACGTCTCTTTGTACAACAATATAGATATATAAACTTACGTAGATATCTAGATTCAATCGCGGTATTTTTCATACAACGTAGACATAAATGTGAATTTTCGTGTTTCAGCAACAAAGCGTATCGTAATTTTGAAACTTTAATTTTAATTTTAATAAATCAATAAGTAACTTATGCACGATTACAAAATTTAAGTAATAAGGTACCTAATGATTAATATAATATTAATAATGTGATTAACACAATATTACTCTGAATGTTCAAATCTTATAATTATAATAATTAAATAATATTATGTTAAATATATTGAAGTATAATTTTAAGTACTTCCATAAACAAAATACTTCTATAATCACAAATTAAATCAAATCCAGTTTCTTTATACCTAATCCGAACGATAATTATTAATGCGTAATTTCAAAATTGACATATTATAATTATTGGTTATTACTTATTTTTGATGAGTTTACCTATTGCTATGATTTCATCTTTACTATAATGTATGATTCTCTCCATATAGTATACTTACTAACCATACTAAATTTATCATTAATAATCTAGTTAACTATATTTTTCAAACAAAATTATTAAAATTAAAAATATTAATACCTACATATTTAAATAACTGAATTTTTACACTAAAATAATATTTATTTTTAACAAATTAAAACTATACTCACATAGTCACGTAATAATAACATATTTTGATTAATTTAAAGGAAAAATTAAACAACAGAACTTTTTTTAGTGATTATGATTAAAATATTGAAATTTTTTGAAGTTATTATGTCTTTTAAAGGCTAGGTTTATGCGCTAGTGCTTATAAATGGCTCTTATTAATATAATAAATTTAGATATAGGTTGATAGTTTTTTATGTAACTATGGATTTTTATATTATAAGGTTTGAGCATAGGCATTTAATAATATATGAGTACAGTAGCCAGTAGCCTATCTATTACATACAAATATATTTTTAATTTTAAACTATTATTGTACATTTGTATCTCCTGCCTCAATTATATTATTGTATCACTATTATCAAATAGTATTGTATAATTAGCAGTTTAATTATAATTATAGTAGTTTAAATAAAATATTTTAATTAATTTTTTTTGTTTTATTAACAACTATTTTTCAAGTACATGGTTATTTTGTTTAAATATGGTATAGAATTCTGGGCTTGTGTTACAACTAAACTCTAAAGTATAAATAAACTAGACAAAAAATATCATGTGTGCGTATAAAATATAACTAGATGTATAGATGATTTTAACACTCTTATAGTCTTATCTTATACAAAGTAAAAATAATAGGTACTTACAAAAAACATAACCACCACAGCTTACTTATTTTTATTTTTTATAAAGGGATTAAAGAAAGCCATTTCCCTTAATGGCCAATGAAAAATAAAACGCATCGCCTAACTTTTTGTGCATCGGTTTGGTTATTCATCCAGAAAATTAAAAATGTATTCATTGGTATATTTTATGAACCGTACTAAACCATATGGCTTAGAGATGTCCACAGAATGTTTACTGGTTTTAAATATTTGACTGGTTTTTATTTAACCAGTCTTAAATAATACTGTTCATTTTTTAGGTTTTTTATTATTCTTACAAAAATATTTTTTGGTTTACGTTCTACAAAATAAAAATAGTAAAATATAATGATCATAACCACTTAAAATTTCAGCTATAAAGTGAATTAACTGAAATGATTTTAAGACCTTTGGTTTAAACGCAATTTAATGTAATTATAAACTCTCATAAATAAATACTTTACAAGATAATTTTATATTTCTGGATGAAAAAATTCAGAATATTTAAATTAAAAATGCTAGCTATTACGTATTACGTGAGGTAGGAAAAGAATAAAAACAAAAATATATAAAAATATTTATAGATTGAAAAAATAAAATATTTCTATAGATTGTTGAATTCAATTTTAAAAATAAATATAATTGTTATTATCCAAATTCTGTTAAAAAATTCTTATTGGTAATAATATTCAAGTCAAAAATTATTATAATTCAATAGGTTAGAGTTAAAATACACATTTAAATTAAATAAAAATTAATTTAAATTAATTATAATTTATATAAAAATTAATATTTAACTTTTTACAATTTTTTTAAATTTGATTCCTTTAAGTAAAATAAGTTAATTCTGATTACGCATATATGTAAAAAAAATATGCCCTTTATAATTAATCATAGTTTTCTATTTTCTTTAAATATAAATGATTTATTTAATCGTTATTACAATAAACTAATGCATTCAAAATACAATTTTAATATTTTATTTTTTAAATACTATGGAAAAACAATAAAAGGTTAGGAGTTTGTGCTATCATAATTTATTCAATCAAATAGTTCATAATATTTATATCATTAATTTTCTTTTAGATAATCAATACACAAATTAATCTTTGATATATTTAAATTAAATTAATTAATTAATTTAACTATATAGATAAACTACCTATTTACAATATTTACATTTTTAATGAAAATATTAATTAGTATTTATTTCTTCTTAATTCGTGGTATTTATAATTTTTAGCCCGGTAATAATTATTATATTTATATCAAAGAAATATTCTCTATGTCTCACACAAAGCTAAATTAAAATTATTTTAATTATTTTTTAACTGTTAAATTGTTTTCAATATTTTTATATTTTAATTTAATATATTTCTGATCTGAGTTTACTGCTTTAAAATATATTTAATTCATGTAAGTACTTTAAATTATTATGAAAAAAATATAGCACTTAATTAAACTGATTTTAAATTCGAATGAAATATGTGTACATATTTAAAATATTTGTTTTCGAAAACAAAAAAAAGGCATAGGTAATTAATATATATATATATATGTGTGGATGTGTGTGTGTACATTCATATGTCCATTATAAACTTTAAAAAAGTGTATTAAAAATAAACATACCACCAATTTGCTCTTGAGACGTTGAAAAGAACAACAATCATAATAATCTGTCTTAATGTAAGCCACATATCCGTATCCGATTTATTTTTTCACAGTAATAATAGAAAAATTCTTTATTCAATTTGAGAAAGAAAATTGTTTTTATGTCCACCAAACATGTAGGTACCGTATAGTAATTGATTTTAAATAAATCATGGTTTAAAAATCTGTAGTCGTATTATTTGCGGTCCGGTTACATCAGAACGAGAACGAAAACGAAGTACAAAGCCAGACAATCTAAACCGACCACTTGGGGATGCTTCTGGCAACTGAAACCAAATCACTCGCGGCCATTCCCTTCAGTCAGCCCTCCGACGCTATAAATGTGTACCATGTTTAATAAACTGATTATATTTGTAACCGTACGATAGAAACTTTTCCTCGTACGATAAAGACTTAACACCGCATCATGGCCAAAACAAATAATTTTCGTTATTTTAGATTATAATTTTTAACATAATTTTAACTAAACTATAATCGCATTACGTATAAGGATACGCAGTTATTTAATTCAGTGACACGCGCGTTGTTAATATATATATATCAATATGTTGATGGATATACTATACAAACAATAATATGTTTTGATACAAAATAAATAAATAAAATTAAGTTATGAATTCTAAAAAAGTGTATAAGTAGGTAATCGTTGTGCTGTACAGTAGGATTTAAATGTACATATCTTCATTGAGTAAATCACTCTGTAATGTTATTTAAAATCTTAAATTTTTGCTTTAAAATGTTAAGTTGTAACTTGAAATATCTATAAAAAATTAATTGTGTTTACCTATAAACTTTTTAAAAATGTTGGTTCTAGTATGAACTACTTATGAGTAATATTATATCAGATTCTCAAACCTTAGTAATTTAAATTAAAGGTTTTATGTATACTTTTAGAAGCTATAAAATAGTTTGTACAATTTGTAATTTTGACGAATTTTGTTAAAATTTGAACTTCAAATGGATATAAAAATGAAAAACTTATGTGTATATATTTTTATATTTTTAAATAGCTATTAGAATTTATTTAGAACAACTTATATAAGATCTTGTATCAAATTTTTAAACTATTTTAGTACATTTTTCATTGACAATAATTGAAAAAAATCTAAAAAAAATTCTTATGCCTATGATGAATTGCTCAAAAATTCAAAACAATTTGAACATTTTATCATGTGTAAAAAATATTAATATAGATATTTCATGATCATTAAACGTTTCTATAGTCAATTCTATACTATCTACGATTATTCCTATTTTAGTTATATACCAAGAAAAACTTTATGCTGTCGACATTTTACGTAAAAATGTTTGTTCCGCTCAAAATATATAAGTAATTGAAAATATTGAAGTTGAGAATTATTTTATTGTTTATTATACAACGTAAGAAGTGATCTTTTTTAACGTATGGCATTTATTATTTCAAAAACTAATTAAGTAATAACGTTTTTGAGTTATATTTTTGTTACATTATTTAAAGTCATTCTAAAACAAAATTTTTCTGAAAAAAATAATTTTTTTTTTTATCGGTTATTTTTTAAATTTTTTTTTAATAATCGTGTAGTTTTAATTCGTTATTCCAAATCAGAGTATTTTTGGAGTATTTTTATACATATACATACAAACCGAATTTTTAGCTAGAAGTTTATGAGTTATAAATTTTTGACGTTATAATTACCTAAATAATTACTTGCCCGAAATTTGATTTTAATCAATTTAAATATTCCGATAATATTCCGCTTAGTAATATGAAGTTAAAATTTATGTTGTAGTTTAAAAGAGTAAAAACTTAAAAATTAGGTAGGTATAACAATTAAAATAATAAAAAAATATTGTTTTATAATGACTTAAAATTATTTAAAATATATATTTTTAAAAACATTAATATTTATTGAAATAATGAAAACCTACCCTATATTAATTAGATCACTCTATATTTACGAGTATATTATTTTGAATAATATATGAATATTAATGATACTAGGTAATTATTTACTTAATAATTTTATTATTATTAAGAATTAATATACAATTTAATACGATTCAGATTTTTTTCATAACTTTTTATTTCAACAATGAATGAGGATGTTATTTAATTTGTAATAATTTAAAAATATTATTTGCGGGTATTTAACTATAGGCAATATAGTGCCTATAGTATAAATATGTTTATCTAAACCATTTAATTTTTTGTTTGAATATTGTATCTGTGTGTAAATTTCAATCATATATCTAATTTAAAATAATATAATGGGTATTTTAATTAACGAATGTCAAGTAAATGATATGTAATTGCCAATCGTCTTGAATTATATTAAACCGACCTACAATATATGATCTAGGTTAAAAATACAATTTTAATTTTAAATAGTTATATATTTTTTTAATAAATTATATTTTCTTAAACCGCATATTGAATTTATAAGTAATTACCAAATAGTAGTACCACCAGTTGCTGGTGGAAAATTTTTCTCTCGTCAGCTAAGTATGGACATTCTAGGAGAAGGTGCTTTATGGATATTAAAGATGTGTTGCAGAATTCGAATAAGGGTCTTGGTTCTTTTTTCATTAAGTATACAATATACATAGATAATCTTCGTATGGCCAATTTTTACACGTGACCAGATTGTTTTTTTCTCGTCTAGTATTAGAGAGTGAATACGGATTTGGAACTAAAGCGTCTTGATTTGGTGTGCTTTTGCTCTTTTCCACAGCGCATCTCTGATTATGTCCTTCAGAAATAATAATTCTATTTTGGAATTATATAATTATTGATAGAGGATTCTTTAACTACTTCGTCGACTTTTCGTTTCCAGGTATGTTTTTATGAACATTGGGCAGGTATCCAAAAGGAAATTTCCGAATATGACGGGACTATGAAGAAAACTCTTTCTAGAATCTATGATACTTTTTATGATTTGATTTGTTAACCCATGGTTTTTTTTTAGCAAATATAGAGCTCAGAAAATCACTGTCAGTTAAAAATGTCTCAGTATTTTTCCAACAATGTATATTTTCAATACATTTTTAATCATTTAATAAGTACTTACATATTTGATGTTATTATTACAAACGTGTTTCACGTGATTTGAAAAAAAAAATATAAAATAAATACGAGTACATGGCCACTGGCCACTGAACTAATTTATTGTGGTAAGGTAGATAGAAAAATAATGTGTATTAAAAGACAAGGTAATAAAGATAACTAAATTAATCTGCTATATAAAAGATAAAGTATGAATAACCAACAAATAATATACGAGTATAAAACCGATGGCACGGTAACGCATAAGAAATTCATTCATTGTTCAATTTCGCAGTTATTCGCATCAAAATTAATTTGTATGCACAATTAACCATGATTTGTCAATAAACTTTCGCTGAAAATGTTTTTTTTTTAAATTCTTAAATTTTTTAATCATTTTAAAACATAAATAATAACAAATACATTATAAATTATAAATTTATTTACTGTAGATTTCACTAACCCTTGGTTAATCGAATTATTCCCATTCCGATGACATTAATTTAGCAGTAGTTGAGAAAGCTATTAATACATATGAATATAGTCGAATAAAAACAACAAAAAATTGCAAGTATTTCCAATTGTAATAAGTGAACTTCTTCAAAATTGTTTAAAATCATTTTGTTCTGAAAAAAGTACTAAACGTACTCTTTAAAACTACAGAAACCGAAGTATTCCCACAAAATCCGATTCTTTGGCAGTTTGGCTGAATTGACAATAAAAAATGAATGGGCACTTTACAAAAACGAACAGTTTTTACTGTATGATAACAAATTAAATTCAGATAGACAGATGACAGGATAATTATTTTTTACACTTGACAATGGCTTAAAATATTTAAATGAAGCATATACTTGGTATTATAATGGTAATTTTTCGTTAAGTACTAAACAATTTTTGAAGTTACCTATATGTTTTTTGAGTGAAAAAATATTATACATTTATAACTGCGATTTATTGTTTTCTACAAAAAAAAAAAAAAGTATAGTACCTACTTATATAATACTCAAAAAGAAGTTCTTAACGTAATTTTAAAAGAATGTGACAAACGAGAATTTTACCCAGATCCAACAAGCCATTATAAATTATATTCAGTGTTTGTTGAACACGTCCGTATATAAGGTTAAAGGTAAGTTTTATTACTTGTCTCAAAATTATGTATCGCAAATACAATAAATTGATTTACTAGTCAAGTATTAAACGGATGGTACATCAGTAATTTTTTTTACTATGTGAGACGGCTGACGGGTTAGCATTTTTATCAATCAATAAAGTTTACGATAGAATATAAAATATTGATTATTTAAAGATGGTTTGTAGAGAAAAAATCACAAAGGTTCTCGATGAACTCGATTTGCATACGTCAATGGTAGGTACATATAGAATATTAAAAAATTATAAATATCAAATAAAAAAATAAAAATAAACTGTTATTTTAATTATGAATTTAGAACTTCATGATGCTTACAATATACTGCAACATTGTACTAACAATATATGCGAAAGTTGAAACATCCATTTTACCTAACTTGTCGACAACAGACATACACGAGTTCAAACCTCTGGAAGTTAACTTCTAAAATTCATGGAGAATTAGGAGTAGAAATAGAAATAGAGCTGAAATAGCGTTGTAAGAATTAGATGAGAGGTTTCCAGCACTAAAAGGATGGAAGTTTAGTAACACCGATAAAAGTTTACGAAACTTATACTATAAAGTAGCCGATAATGAAATATCAGTGGAAAATTTTTAATTAATATTGTCTATTGTATTTGTAAACAAAATATAATAATATTGTATAAACATTATAATAATACAATATTAGAAAGAAAAAAAAAGATATTAAAAATTAGAAAATAATATTGTTTATGTAATAGGTAGGTATATAGTATAAGCACATAAATGGGATAAGTCATATAGGTACTCGTAGTTTCTATTTGTTTTAAAATTTATTTTGATAAAAATAGCTCGTCTCATTTTTGGATCCTAAACACTATAGGGTCACACTTACACAAATAGTAACTTTATAGTTGTGTCCTGAACGTTTACCGTTTAATATCCACTATAATGCTATTCACGGTGTCGCATAATTTGACCGTTATAATTTTAAGTTTGATGGCACGTCATTTTTACAAAATATTTCAGAAACACATTTTTGTTAAAAAATATTAAAAAGTTAAACCACATATCTACATTCCGCCGTTTTCAAATGTTTCCTGTGATATCTTACTATTTTTCAGATAAGTATTAACAAATTTGTAAAAAATAATACAACAGACTGTGGCGCATCTACACTATATATAATAAAATTACGGTAAACACCCTTAGGCTAAACGAATCTTTAGGTTAACTCCGTCTTGTAAAAAGTTGGTTGTAAAAACTAGCAATGAATTTAGTGGCGTAACTATGGGGCCACTAGGGTGTTTTGAGTGTTGAAACACCACATTTGGTAATTTTTATGCAAAAAAGATATTTACTATACTATTCAGATTTCTAAAAAATATGTTGTCATGTAATGGTTCTATTAAAAATTTGATATTTTTATTTTGAATAATGATGACTAAGTATGATGGAAAGTGTGCAAAGCCCACAAATTATATTTAAATATAAAATTAAAGTAATCGAAGGGCCCTCCTCCCTAAAAAATTGTAGGTGGCAGAAACCATTTTGACTCTTATTGTGGTTGGTTTTCAATTCATGGTTTACATAATTGTTGTGATATTGTCTAAAAATGAGTATCTATAATATTGTCTCATCATAGATCTGATTTTTTTTCAACATCTTCCCGACCTAAAGATTCAGACTTTAGTATTGTTTATGTATTAACAATTAATACATATTTTATTTAAAAAAAATAAAAATAATAAGCAGTCAAGTGGATGTTTGCATACTATAATTAATACAATTTAGTATATACCATTTGATTTCCTTCATTTTAACTTAGTTGGTGAGTTTTAAACTCATGCCCAAAATAAATTACTATCCATCTAAACAAAATCTTATAACTAATTAACTATGATTGAGTAGAAATAATATATTTATTAACAATGATACCACAATATTATATCAATATGTATTTATTTTTAACAAAAATAATATGGGAATAAATAATATAAATGTTATGTAGATTACAATATTACATAACTTAAATGTGCACAAGAAATTCAATTTCACAATTTCACTAACTTTTTTTTGTCACTTTGATAAATAAAATCATTTCTGGAAACAAAATTTTGATTACAATTAATTTTAATTTACTTAGTTATTATTTAAAAGAATAAAGTACATACTTATAAAAATTGCAACCATAGCAACAGCTAAAACCCAAATCCAACACCTCCAAGTGCTTTTTCTTACAAACTCTGTTAATCTCTGTTCTTCTCTTTTTAAATTTTCAAAATTAGAATCCATACCTTTTGATGATTTTTCTAAAATCTAATATAAAACAATGTTATACTATATAACAATGTTATGTTAAACATAACATAAACATTTTATCATAAATTATATTATTACTTCAATGTCTTTTTTAATTATTTTTCCAGCAAGTTCCGAATGTTCTCGTAAACCACGAGTTATTGCTAATAATTCTTCAGCGATAGATTCCTGTTTATTTTGATGATGTCTCAATAGTTCATCCAAATTATCATTACTATCTACATCTGGTTGCCTAGATGATCTGAATTCATTTGTATCATCTATAACAATTAAATTCCATACATCTTATAATTTAAATAAAAAATAAATTGATTTACTTCCAAGGAGTTCATCTCTCAATTGGTTTGTATAAGTAACTTTATACTTTTGCTTAATATCTTTTGAACGGCTATTTGACACCTGTACAGGTTCCAACATTTCCAGTGCAACTAATTTCTTTTCTGGATTTTCCTATAATATAATTATGAAGAATCATAGACTTTTTATTCTATATTCTTAAATTGTAATTAGATTAATATATTACGATGTCTTTGGTATTCAAAAATCCTTTAAGAAACTCCATTCGTTTTGTGTACTGGTTAATTGCATCTTTGTCAGGATCACTGTACATAAAAAAAATAAATAAAATAATTAAAACATTTTAAATGAATAATTATTTATTAAACTTTAATTTTTGGACACTAGAAAAATGGAGACAGTAGTTGAGCTGGGTCCCACAGAAAAAAGCACAAAACTAATTTAAAATTCTATATAAACACAGAAAAAAAAATATTGGATATCAAATAATTTAAAAAGTATTCTTTGTCTTAAATTTTTAGAAAACAAAATGTTAATTAAATTTGATTTAGTGGGTTTTTCTAAAATAAAAACCGTTTTGGCATTCCTATTACAACTTATTTCATTAAATTTTAATTCAATTTTTGTTTACCTTTTTTTAATTAATTCTGCAATCATTTCACTGACAGCTTCTATATACTAAAATAAAAATGTATTAATAATAATGAAAATAAACAAATCATTTTTAAATTGATAAATCATAATCGTGAATTTTGTTAAATTTATTAAATTAGTAATTAAATCTTTATTAGTCCCGATTTCATGCATTTAATGACACTATGAAATTTAAAACCTAATGATTTATCTAAATTAGCATAATATCTACTTTGCTCAATCGCCAATCATCAGATGAATTATTTTGAGCCATTTCTTCACAAACTGACAATAGTCTTTTGACATCTATTTCTAATCTAGAAGTGGCCATTTTTCTAAAAATTTATTTCATAAAAATTACTGAATCAAATCGTTAAAAATAAATAAAAATAAAACATACATTTGTGTAAACTATTGATAGTTTTTAATACTATTAATAATATTCAATAGCAGAACTGTTTATTACATAATAAGTATAAAGAAAACGTGGGAATAAATAGGGAAAAGTTTACCAGTGGGTAATTTTTTTATGTATGCTTAACTTTTAAATTTAATTTTGAAATATTTTAATATTTACACATCATACAATAATAATATGAATATAGTTAAATCATTATTTATTTAATTTCTAGACACGACACACGATTGCGAATCACAATTAATATCAAATTGTAGATAAGGATTTTGGATTACACATATCACATTATTATCACTGAACAATGAACATATTATTATATTCTGTGATCCGTTATCAATTATCACATTAATTTTGATAATTTAAAGCACGTGAATACTGAATACTGTATATTAGATTCAAATTTCGAGTAAGGTTTATATTTACCTAAAATTCTATCTATTTTTTTTTTACTAATAGATACCGCAGGATTTTAAATTTTAAACTTAAGTGTTTCGTGTATATTCGCATCTTGTCATTAAGTGCAATGATATGTATTGACGCATTTAGTTCAAAATTCATATTATAATATAGTAAAGTGGGTATGTTTGTTTTTAACTAAATTTATTAAATATGCATTAACAATAAACTGTATTTAATAAGAGTTTTTAGTAGTACTAAGCAGTGCTTAGAAATTTATCTTAAAATCTGAACTTCTTTACATTCAAGTGACTTTATCCAAAGGAATGCTTTCACATTCATGTTCATTAAAAAAAAATTGAATGCATTCATCAAATTATTAATTTTATTTATTTGTTCAAAAATAAATTACAATTAATGGAAATGAAACAATATTATTTTCACAATTTGTTAAAAAATAGTTTATGGATAGAAATCATACATTAAATTACTTTCTCATTACAAGTTTCTTTATTAGTTAAAACAAAGGTGAAGCATAAATAAAATATATTTAATAATCAGATTTGTCCGTTTTCAGTTCAAAAATTATTATTTGAAATACCTATTTTTATTTTTTTTTATTTTTATAATACGTTACATAAAAGTAGTAAAAATGTATTTAATTTGAATGGCTGAAAATTGTTTACAATTTTTCAAAAAATATGAATACTCTTTCACATTTTTAAATAAAAAAAATACTTGACATTCATGTAATAACCATTTCTTTTCAAAAACTGCTACTAGAGTTAAAATTAATATTTTAAATTTTTTTATTAATGATGTAAAATATTTAAATTTCAGGTCATACAGAACATTAACAATGAATGACTTAAGTAAAATGGATTTAGTCAAATATTTTGACGATGAGCGAAAGTCTTTGCCTGTTACTCTTCAAAAAGATAAGCTTTGTAGTTTAATTAAAAAAAATGAAACTTTAATCATAATTGGAGAAACAGGAAGTGGCAAGACAACACAAATTCCACAAATTGTCTATGAAAACATATTAAGCCCAGACGAAGATGTAGTAGTTACACAACCAAGACGTGTAGCAGCAATTTCATTAGCTGAACGTGTATCATATGAAGTAAACACTGAAATTGGAGACCTGGTTGGTTATAGAGTCAGATTTATTGACAAAACTAATCACTTCACTAAAATAAAGTTTATGACTGATGGTATGCTATTACGCACAGCTATTTTAGAAAAGAGCTTATCAGCATATGGATGTATAATTTTAGATGAAGCTCATGAACGTACTGTCAATACCGATCTACTTTTTGGAATTGTAAAAAAAGTCCAACGCAGTCGTAAAAATAGTTCTAATCCTCTTAAAGTAATTGTCATGTCAGCAACCATGAATGCTGATTTATTTGCAGATTATTTTGGAAATGCACAAATTGTCTATTTACAAGGTAGGCTTCATGACATCAAAATATTCCATGCTAAAAAAAATGTAGAAGATTACTTTCACGATACTTTTGTTACGATATTTCAATTACATAAAGAGGCACCAGAACGCCATGACTTTTTAGTGTTTCTGACTGGTCAAGAAGAAATAGAAAATATGGCTCTTGCTATTGAACATATTAACCAAGATCCTTCTCTAAGAAATTACCCTGTTATAAAAGTACGAACGTTGTATGCTTCATTGCCTACTAATGAGCAACTCAAAGTATTCATGTCATTGGAACCTAATGAGTTTGCTAGGAAAATCATATTGAGTACAAACATAGCAGAAACATCAGTTACTTTGACTGGTATTAAATACGTGATTGATTGTGGTAAAGTTAAAGTTCGTTGTTTTCATCCAGAAACTTCAATGGATGCTCTCAAAGTAGAAAATATCTCTCAAGCCCAAGCTGAACAAAGAGCAGGTCGTGCGGGACGTGAATCAGATGGATATTGTTATAGAATATATTCAAAACAGCAATATGATGAAATGACCCAAGACCCAGTACCAGAAATCTTGAGGTGTAATTTGGGTAATGTAGTTTTACAGATATTGGCCATGAATATGGATCCTTATAAGTTTGATTTCATTAATAAGCCGTCGATTGAAGCAATCGATCAAGCTTATAATATGCTAGGAAATTTAGGCGCTACAAAAAACAGTATTTTAACTGAAGTGGGTCATAAAATGACTAAATTTCCTCTAGATCCCAGGTACTCAAAAATTATATTGTCATCAGTAAATTATGGTTGTATGGAAGATATTGTAAATATTGTATCTATATTGTCTACTGATTCAATTTTTGTGTCTAGCCTTTCGGAGAAAAAAAAGAAACAAGCCGAAGATGCTCATACAAAATTCAAGTCATCCGTCAGCGATCATATTATGTTACTAAAAACATTCCGTTCATATAGAAAAGTAAGAAAAGATTCTAAATCCAGTTGGTGTGATGATAATTTTCTCAACCTCCGTAATTTAGAATATGCAGATCGTGCTCGAGAACAATTACTCGATATTTGTAGGTATTTACATTTACCGATTGGCCAATCTTGTGGAGACAATTTCGACCCTATCAGAAAATGTCTGTTGACGGGATTTTTTGAGAATCTGGCATATATTAATCAGGAAAAAAAATATATAACAGTTAACGCTAAGAAAGAGTGCAAAATTCATCCAACTTCAACACTGTTTCATTCATATCCTCATTGTGTTCTGTACACAGAAATCATAGAAACCAGTCAACCTTATATGAAATATGTAACTGTGATTGACAAAGAGTGGTTGCTCGACGTTGTTCCTAATTTTCATCAACGTCATAATTATCAAGTATTGATGAATAGTGAATTATAGCTTAATTTAAAAAATGTCTACCTAAGTAGTAAACAAAAATTTTATACAAACCTATGGTTTAATAGTTGACTACAAATAAGAACGTATTATAAAAGGTATGTATAATACACATATTTTCTAAGTTTTTTATATTTTGTAAATTATAAATCGTATTATATTATGTATTTTATTGTGTTTATATTTTTAAATTCTAATTTAACTCTTTAGAATGTTATATAACGTCATGAAATATAAATAAAACACATTTTTGTGAATAAATTGCACATTTTAATAATTGTTTTGTGAATTTGTATCGTCATCTTAGACTTCAGAGTGCAAGAATGTTTGTATTTGTATAAAATAAATTTTGGTAAAAACAACACAATTAATATAGGCCAACTATAAATTATATTTGAACTTGAGTATCTCATAATAGTTTTATATTAACAGATAAACTAATTATTAAGGTATATAAATAATTTTTTAATATAATTGTTAAAACACAAGAAAACTATGCTCCAATGAGAAATATAATAAAATATAATATGTATTTATACATTATATACACACAACAAAAATATGACTTACATCTTTATGCATTAATACTACTATAATTTTTTTAATTTAACCAGAACAAACACTGAATTCAAATGTTATATGTTTAGGTCTGTGGCCTATGTTCTTTTGTCAATAATTTATCTACAGTATGCAACACTTGCATGCCTACCTATGACAGAAAGAGTAAAACTGATTGCCAAAACAGGGATTTTTATATCATCAATCCTATCATTTATATCCACACTCATTGTAATACTATATTTTGGAAACTACTGAGTCAAAATCTATATAAAAAAAAAAAAAAAAATGAGTAGTATTTTTTGAAAGTTGATTTCATTTTAACGAATAATGATATCTAATAAATGACACTGATCAGTGACCACGCATAAAGTTCTTCTATAACACATATCAAATAAAAACTTATTTTTTGTTATCTTAACAATTTTTCAGGTATAAATAAAAAATGTATAGGAACAGCAAGCTAGATAAAAATGGTATTAATACATTGACCAATTATAAGAAATACTATAATACTAAAAAATATATTAGTATATTAGTTATCAATTTTAAACGGATATTCATCTATATTATCATCTTCTTCCTCATAATGCCATGATACATCTTTATCATACATTTCTTTCTCAATCGACCTACTCCTCCTTCTACCCAAAGATTTGGCTTCTTGAATTTTTCTTTTTTTTACAAAATCTGTAAATGATAAATACTGAGTGTCTTCAGTATGTTCTGATACAGTATTTTTCATAACATTTTGTGCAGCGCAAGGTTGACGATGAGCAGCTTTTGATTTTTGAATGGCCGTGTTCAACTAAAAGGAAAAAATATGATATACACAATAGAATAATCAAAAATTATTAATAATTGTTTACTATTTAATATCAAATTAAATTGTATAAATAGCATGCAGTTCTATGCATGGGCCTACCAAGAAAATCTTGGTTTAGACTTAATTGTATAAGGACAAAATAAGGAAGATGTAACAACTGCATGTAAAAATGGAGGATAAGAGACAGTCTACTGTCTAGAATTCTGGAGTGTGATGAGATGCAGGTGTACAGCAGTCAATTCAATGCCTAATTTTAGACTGCCAGTTAAAGAGATTTGGAAAAATTAATAAAAAACCGAAGCTTGGCTAGATTCTTTGAATGTTATCATTTAATTGAATCCAATATTTTACTTAAATAATAGCATTGTTATTAATGCTAATTAAAATAACAATTTAATCTGTTACCCAATTACTAGGTTGTTTAATTTAAAGCTATTGTTTATTGTTTTCAATTATTTTCAATTCTTTTTTTTTCATTTGTTTGGTTTTACAATAAATTTGTCTAGAAATTTGACTTTTATAGTGTTGTATAATTATAAAAGAGTAAATGTAATTGTTTATTGTTATGTCATATAATAAAAAGTAGCAAATACTTCAATTCAAACTAGTAACAAAGTTTGAATACACTAACACATTATTCTTCTTCTAATCATCTTATATATACAATACATTAAAATAATATCTCACTCTGGCCATTATTGCACTATGATCAAGACCCATTACATCCATTTTCATTTCGGGAATTATTACTTCATCGTTACTGTCTTCTGTTAGATTTTCAGTATCCTCTAATTCTTCAATTTTTTTCTAAAATTGATTAAAAATATATTATACATTAATTATAATACTATTAGTAATTATTAGTAGGAATTTTTATTAGTTAATTACTTTAATTTCTGGATCAATATTCTTGTAAATTGTAGGATGATCAATTAATAAGGTATTGCAAGTAGGTATAAAATCTTCACCAAAATCTGCTTTATTTAATAACCGATCAACTGCTGCTACGTTTGCATAAGTCCTATCTTCATAGAAAAATTGATTAATATTAAGAATAATTACTGTTACAAGTTCACCTTGTAGCTTATAGAGAAACTTAATAGACTATTATTAATTTTGTTTTTAACAATTACCTTTAATAAATAGTATCTTTGGAACTTCGCCCATGATTCTTAATACAGATAATTCATGTCTCAGTGAACCACTTAACATCTTCAATAATTCGTCTAACTGGGAATCGTCTTCAGATTTTCCAGCCATCCAATATACTTTGACAGATCTGTAATCCCCTGCAATAGAAACCTACAGTAATAACAAAAAATTTAATATTTAATGCATTATCCACATTTTTTTAACATTTAAATATTTTTATATATAAAAATTATGCTTCAAGACTTCTTGTGGACTAAGACTTGTGGAGGAAAGGCAACACAATGGATATTAAAGTCTATCTTTTTAAAAATCACAAAAATTAACAGAAAAGTGAATTAAGTACATTAGATAGATTACTTTGTCGCTTAAAAATTAATCATGACTTTTATACCTTTGAAATTTCTAAACCATATCCAATGAGTTTATCAGAGTTTTCGCCTGTTGCCATTAAATCAGTTATATTTTTCATCAACAACTTATTTAAAACAGCAATACGCTTGCTTGTCTGACGTCCAGCATTGTTTTTGGTTGTTTGTTTCATAAGCTCTTCAAAAGTAGGATTTGCCCCAACATTTGGTTTATACCAAACCTTTCTAAATAGTAATATAAGTACCTATGTGATGTATACTTTTATCAAGATATAATTTAGATAATATACATTCTACTTACTTAGTTTTCCGACTAAGACCCATAACTTTGTTCATCATTTTACCATCCAAAGACGAAGCATTACATTTTAACATTTTAATATTTGACCTGAACAACAATAATGAAGTAGATTGAAATTTATGAAACATTTCTAGGCTTAAGTTAAAAGAGAAGAAATTAAAGAAAGTTTTAAGTGTTTGGTGAAATTTCGCTATGTTAATGACATAGTTTTCAAAATAGATTTTCTAATTTCTTATCGAATCTAAATCAGTTGATAGATCATTGACGCCTAACTTTTCCAATAACCTATAACTTTATAACTTTTCTCGCCATAACCCATAACCACAGATTACAGTCTAAAATATGTTACAAAATATAACGCATAATCTATGAACTTAGTATGAAGTCTGTACCATAAATAAAACTTCAAAGTTTAAATCATGAACACAGGTCACAGATATATACTAAGATTTAAATTAACTTATCAGTTGTCACTGAATTTATCAAAGCGGTATTTACAGTGATAAAAAATAAGCATTTGCTATCTGCCTACCGCGCTAAATATTTTAAATATTATCAGCCATCCGGGAAAAATATAATTATTAATTATTATTAATTTTATTTTTGACTGTTGTAACTTGTCAGTACCTACTCAGTTGTCACCGTTCAACCGTTGTTAGTTTATGACTTTATAAGTTATAAGATATAAGATTATAAATTCTTAAAATTCTTTATAATACTTAATAGTACTGCTCGTCTGCTCGAAAAGTCGAAACACTCGAAATTTGTCTTCAATACGATGAATTCATTAACATAGGTAATATTACCATTTTTATTTGTAAATTGTCCTATCAATTATTAGTCATAATATTGGTATTAGTGGTATTACGGAATACAGATGAAAAAACAGAGGTCAAACATCATAACTGATGTCTGATCTTCAGAAGAGTCCGAGAATGCAAAAAAATAATTTGTAATACACTTGTATTTGTTAAAATTATAACTAGTAAACGAATTTGTATACTACATATAAAGGTACCATTAATTCAAGGGCGTATTTAAGTGGAGGGCGGAGGGGAGGTATTAAAAAATAAAAAAGATATTATTGGCTAAGCTTTTTTATCTGATGATCTTTTTATTTTTTAAACCACCGATGTGTAAAAATTGATCAGCCCCTTCCCCCACGGGCCACGACATTTTATTTTAAGGGAAAAAAGGCCGCCAAAATCGTAAATACGCCTCTGACTATTATAGGTAGGTGTACCTATTGGTCGTTATTTTACACAAGCGATTTTAAAGAGCTATAATTTTTGTTTAAATAAAGTCTAACGTAAATTGTAAGTATAATATAAAATGAGCAGTAGGATAAACTGATAAATAATAAACAATATATAATGATATATACCCCAGTAGGTATACATGTATTTTGAAAAGAAATGTTAAAAAATTATTTAGTTATTCAACTGTTGTATTAAAATATTTATGTTAATAAAATTCTAGTTAAATCGATTCTAACATAATTGTAAATATTTGCTGGTAACAGATGAACACAATTACTGACCATGGAAGTATATTAAAATGTTATAAACTTATGATTAGAAACCTGAAATGAGTAGATTGTATTATCAACATAAAATTCAATCATTTTACCTAGGTAAATATAATATGACTTCACTTTATTCTTAAATTATTTTATACTGTATACTGTATTTTATAATACGTTGTATGTATAATTGAAATTTGTTATTTATAACTCTACTTTCAACACAAGCTCTGCTTAAAGAAAGTAGATATAATAATAAACTTGTTTCTTAAAAATATATATATATATAAATACTTTCATAGATTAATTAAACATGAATAGTGATAACTACTAGGTTTTTATTAATACAAAAAAAAAAAAAAAAACGATCGTATTTTAAATACTTTGTGACAGTTATAATTGGCAAAACAATAATATTTAAAATATTTTTCATTATATTAATAAATTAATCATTCATTATAAAAAAAAAATAAAGGCAAATACATACATTAAAATGTATTTAATAAAATAATATTAAAACCATTATGAATAACAAAATAAAATTGTATATGTCAAATTATTAAAGAATGAATAACAAAATAGTTTATACAACGAGAACCTAGCTTTTAAGCTTTTATTTTGTTTTTTAAAACCTCAGACCAATACACACATATTAATATACAAATTATAAGATATAAGATAAAAATCAGTATAATTTTATTGCAAATAATTTAATTTTAACAATAATAATTTACCCCATTTGTTTCTGGATTAAATAAGTTAACAGTATATTTTTAATTTGTAAGAATTTACTGTAATCATTTCTTATCTATTTATTAAAAGTAAACTTGAAATAAAGTTAAAGCATTTAAACTACAATTTTGATATAATAGAAAAAAATTTTTTTTTTTTTTTTGTTGTTGTATATATTACAATCATAAACAAATGTTGTTAAAATTATAGATACATAGAACAGTGTTTTCTATTTATTTTTATTAAAAGCGTAGTTTGGATCCAATAAATACTTGGAAAACTCTGATATATCAGTAACACCGCGTACTTCCTTTTCTAGTAATGGAAGCTTAGTAACATGGAAATCAAGATACAAATCATTTATCTAAAACAAAAGTTAATAATAAAAAATTATTTAATAATGTAAAAACTAATATTGTATTTATTATATAAGAAATAACCTGTTCTAAATAGGTGCGCTGTAACGCTCGTCTGGAAGAACACTTTTTACAACTAGGATCTGAATCTCCATTGTTAATGTACAATTGATTAACAATAATATTATGAGTGTCAATTTCATTTTTGGTTAATTCTTGGATAAGCCTTTCTGTTTCATACAATGACAAAAATTCAGCAATACATACACAAACAAATGTGGTTTGATCCTAAAACAAAATCGTTTTAAATCTATTTTGATTATTTTAAAAATATTTTATAATTACTTACAGGATTTTTGAATTGTTGATTAACAGTTTTAATAGTAGCTAACATTTCTTCAAGTTTTTGTGAAATATCATCTACATTAACACCAGCTCCAAAAAGCATACTCATTTGATTTAGGTAAGGGCCTATTCTATTTTTCAATTCCAAAATTTTTCCTAAAGCTTTTTCCATCATTAAAGGAAATGTTAGTAATCTTAAAGTATGCCCAGTAGGAGCTGTGTCAAATACAACAACTGAAAAGTTCATGCTCTTAACCAACCTAAAATCACAAATATGAAAAAGGTAATGTTATCTTGATAATATTCTATTAGTATTAAGTAGTTACAAGCATATGACATAATTTAAAAATGATACTTTAAATTTAAATACAATAAATATTGTATTAAAAATAAAACCTATTCTGAGTAAAATAAGATTTTATTCAAATAAGTTATATCTGTTTACAATCCTTACATCATAGTTAATAAGAAGAAACTGAATTTATACTCATTTAAATATTTTCTAAGATTATATGTGTAATATGCTAAGTAAAAAATGTATTTAACCTACATTGAGATTGTAAATAATAACTTTTTTACAGTACACATTTTAAAAATATTTATTTATTTATTGAGAATACGGGCTGGTAACATGTAAGATATTAAAATATTTAAATGACTTTTACATTTTTTTGCAATTCAATCTTTGAACATATTTTGGTATTTAAAAAGTTATAATAAAAAATAAATTTTATGTATTTAATTAGTTTATGCGATGTTTTCATGTACAGGGTGCGGCATAATGGACTCCCACATTTCCGAAGCGAATTAAAAAAAAACAATGCAAGATAAAGAAAAAAAAATTTTATTTTTAAAAACTATATTATATAAGGTTTTTTTTAAATTATTTTTTAAAAATTATATCGTCTAAATGATTGCCTTGACAAGCAACGCACATATGGAGCCGTTCTCGAAAGTTTTCCGTCACTTTTGCCAGCATATTGAATGGAATCGTGGAGATTTCTTGACGGATGGCCTTTTTTAGTTCTTCAATGGTTCTTGGTCGATGTTTGAAAACTTCAGCTTTGAGGTTTCCCCATAAGAAATAATCACATGGGCTCAAATCAAGGGAGCAGGGAGGCCATGTAATGTTTTCCCTTAAGGAGATCAAGCGACCAGGAAACATTTTTTGCAATACAGCACGAGAACAACGGGCTGTATGAGCTGTGGCTCCATCCTGTTGAAACCAGAAGACATCATTATTTTTGTACTCTTCGATTTTCGGGCGTAAAAAGTTCTCCAACATTTCACAGTACTGGTTGGAAGTCACAGTAAAATGTTTCCTGGTCGCTTGATCTCCTTAAGGGAAAACATTACATTGTCTCCCTGCTCCCCTGATTTGAGCCCATGTGATTATTTCTTATAGGGAAACCTCAAAGCTGAAGTTTTCAAACATCGACCAAGAACCATTGAAGAACTAAAAAAGGCCATCCGTCAAGAAATCTCCGCGATTCCATTCAATATGCTGGCAAAAGTGACAGAAAACTTTCAAGAACGGCTCCATATGTGCGTTGCTCGTCAAGGCAATCATTTAGACGATATAATTTTTAAAAAATAATTTAAAAAAAACCTTATATAATATAGTTTTTAAAAATAAAATTTTTTTTCTTTATCTTGCATTGTTTTTTTTTTTCATTCACTTCGGAAATTTAGGAGTCCATTATGCTGCACCCTGTATAAATCTTTCTATTTATTGATAACCACTACCATACTGAGCAAATATGATGGTCATTTCAAAATAATTACTTTATATACATATTTAAGTAAATAATTTGGAAATACATTTATATCATAACTGAATTAATAAATATATATTTTTATATATTTTGAGGATATAAACATAATAAATTTATTTTTGTGCTGACAAATATTTAATATTTATAATATGTGGAACATAACTCACGTGCATTATTGAATCAATAAAAAAAATTGTATTTTTGATTATTCAGTAATACATAATTACTTATTTCCTATTTAAATATCCAGTTTTAAGTAATAATGCTTTATAAATTATAAGCCTAATATATATTTTATTTACTGTGCAATTTAAATATTTACAATATTGCAATAGCACATGTTTTGAGTAAATTAAAAGTAAATGGTACATTTATATTTAAAATAATTACATCAGAGTAATATTTAGTCTGTATTTACTTACTTCATTACTTGAGCATAACTCATTGACTCATCAATACCTGGAAATGCTCCTATAATGTCTTGTATAATACTTTTACCTAACCGCATTGTATCAGATTCATCATCACCTCCAAATAAATTTTCATTTTCACTCTGGACATCGGGATCAACTTCCTAAGTAATAGATTTAAAAAATTTATTTTTATTTATATTTTTTAGAATACAAATTCTCCATTTTAAAATGCTTACCATAGCAAATAAATTATTGAAACCTACAACTTTAGTAGGTGCTTTGGTAAATCGTTGTCCAAAAGCATCAG